TCTCTCTCTCTCTCTCTCTCTCTCTCTCTCTCTCTCTCTCTCTTTCTCTCGTAACAAGACGATACGCGATACCTTTCCTCGAGAAATTTATCCCGAATTTTTGTCTATAATGCGTGCTTTTAATTGTGTAAACGACAGCTTCCTGGTTTCGTTTCTGGTGGATGCGCGAGGCGGTGCGATGCGCGGCTGCAGGCACAGTGGTGTACGCGTGATCGTTCCTCCTAGGAAAGCAGCGATGCCTATGCGCGTCACATGCAGATATCTGAGAAGGGACAAATTGACGAACCCGCCGCCTTTGATGGAAGGGGAGGCTCTTGCGAGTCGTATCCTGGAGTTAGGACCCGTGGGCGCCAAATTTTTAGGGTACGTTCGAAATACGAGTATTATTATTATTTATTTGTGGAAACGGAATTCCGTTAATAGTATATAGATATATATACAAATAATGTAGAGATCTCTCCTCGTGACCTTGAATTGATTAGATTAGATTTTTCAGATGATTCACATTTTTGCATATATAATTAAATGAATAGAAAATTCAATTCGTAATTAAATTCGATATTGAAAGTCTTGGAGAACGAAAATATTGTAATCAATTGAATTTTTGAATTAAGAATAATAGATGTTTATTTTGTATGGAAAAGAATGTAAGCTAATTGATTTGATAATTTGAAGGGAACAAATGTTGGCAGTTTATCGATACGATGACACGATTTTCGAGGAAAATCGAACGTTTAAAGTTGTTGATAGAATGGTAAAATGATTATTTTCAACTTTGATTTTTATAATATCTCGAGATTGATCTTAAGTTTAGAAATTAGAATATTCTGATTCATCGTAAAATGTAACATTGGCATGTAACAAAGAGATTTAGATAATCTTTGCTGACCTGAATTGGTCCGCTATTGTATTCGCTCGAACAATTCTTATTGTGCATACGTAACATTCATACGCTGAGAAACTTAAATCTCGATTTAATTCAGTTTTTTCCGTTTCTGAGATTGAATTTGTTTAATACTTGTTTAATAAGTATTGAGAAATTTGTATATTCTTATAAGTTTCGAATCAACTTTCTCGTCAATAATAAGTAACAACTTTTTTAATCTCTTTCATTCAGACCCGTGATCATAGAAGTACCACACTTTGCTTCGTTGCGAGGAAAAGAACGAGAAATAGTTATACTCCGATCAGATAATGGAGAGACTTGGCGCGAGCACACCTTGGAAGCCAGCGAGGAGGCCGTCCAAGATGTGCTTAATGAGAGCTTTGAAGGAGAAGGTACGGTTTCAGAATAAATCGCAATAAAAAAGTTTCAATCTTTATACTTTAGAAGAAAAAGTTCATCATAGAGATGAACTATTACGAGAAAAAAAATCTTCTATGATTAAATATCGTCTAAATATTTTCTTATCAGACAGAATTATCATTTCTGATAATTCTTTTTATTTTTTTTTTTTTTTTTTTATAAATGCTGATTACTTAAATTAATAAAATTGTAAAGGCAATAAAAAGATAATTTTAAGAAGCAGTATTAACATCAGATATATTTTTCGTATTTTCGTATAAAAATTCTTACCTTCGATCCCGAATATTCTTCGTCAATTTTCAATACATGTGTAAATACAATTTTACAGAATTAAGCCAGCTCGAGGATCTCCAAACTTCTCGAATCGTGAGGATACTTACAGCAGACTTCCCACATTACTTCGCAGTAGTGTCCCGTATCAGGCAAGAGGTTCACGCAGTTGGTCCAGAAGGTGGCACCGTTTCTTCGTCAGCCGTACCTCAAGTCCAGGCCGTATTCCCACCAGCGGCTCTCACTAAAAAGATCAGAGTTGGGCTCCAGGTGCTTATTTCCTTTTTTTGTTCGATCCGTTTCATAGCTTCAGCTTATATCATAATAATAATTTTCGACGATAACGAAGCGACAATTTATCAATCAATAATAACAATATATATAATAATAATAATAATAATAATAATAATAATAATAATAATAATAATAATAATAATAAAAAAATAATAATAATAATAATAATAATAATAATAATAATAATAATAATAAACAAGAATAACATTTTTATCTGTAGGCGCATCCAATACCGGCAGATCTTGTCGCCAAGCTGCTCGGTAACAGAGTGGCTGTATCACCGATCGTAACCGTTGAGCCGAGACGAAGAAAATTCCACAAACCGATAACCTTAACCATACCCGTGCCTCAAGCAGCCAATAAAGGCATGATCAATCAATATTCAGGAGATGCGCCGACGCTGAGACTTCTGTGCAGCATAACTGGTAATATATGCTTGCACGTAATATTGTAGAGCAGCGTACCGTCTTACTGGAGAATCTCTTACCGATAAGTGCTGAAACTTATGTTACGCCGCAACACCTTTGGTGTATATATATATATGTATATATATTTAAATTTATATATATATATATATATATATATATATGCTCTTATCAAACTTTATACGCATTCGATGATCAATTTAGTAGTTTAGTAGGCATGGCGCGGGCGATAGGCATCTTCGTCTGTTCTCAGGTCATCGGGACTCCGCTTAATTAATTATTCTCTGTACGTTCAATTAGAATAATTATTATTAACGATCTTGTAGGTGTGCAACGGCTAAAAGGTAGTAGGTTTTGAAGTGTTCCGTTCATTTATTTATTTATTTATTTATTTATTTAAGAGGTTATCTGTTATTTTAGGAAAGTAATTTAAGTACAATTAAGTACATGTACACGTGTCCCGGAGACCTTCGGATAGAGATTTAAAAGGGAGATGGTAGCTGCATGTTTCATAGAAACATTTCGTTGAGTACCATTGTTGTATACATATCTTGTTGTGATTCATTGTTAATGCTTGCATATTGTTAGGATTGAGTCATTTAGGTATGGATTATTAATTAAAGTAGATAAAATTTTACTACCTAGCTCATTGTAAGCGTTAACTTCAAAGTTTTTGTTTCAGCACATTCGTTTGACTGGTAACCGCTTCGATATTAGGCTTGTAATTTATTAACTTCTATAAAATTGTGTTCCCAAAATATATGTACTTTTAGATTTATAATATGTAACGATATAATACGACACGATTTACCGATACCGAAAATTATGACCGACAAATTATTCTCTTTTTAATCTTTTTTAACTATCCGTTACAGCCGTTTTTTTTTGTTCACGAATTATATACAACGAAAATTTTTCCACTTTAAAAATTTAATTCCGATTTTTCACATTACTATTTCTTTCTTTTTTTTTTTTTTTTTTTNTTTTTTTTTTTTTTTTTTTTTTTTTTTTCTCTCGACAAAAATCTCGATTCGATTCAGTCGAATAATATTAAATTATCGAACGTTTATCGAGAACGTTTAATACAAATTTAATACGAAAAGAAAAGGAAAGAATAGAAGAAAAAAGAACAGGAAGATATGTTTTCGACATGCGTTACGCCGCGTTTTTATTAAAATTATTTCACAACCTTTTGGTATTTCTTTCTTTCTTTTTTTTTTTTTTTTTTTATCGCTTACTTATTTATTGAACACATATTCACACGATTCGCGTTTTTTGCTTTTTGCGCGGTTTTCAATGTATGATGCTTTATTTTCATTTGGCAAGCATTATCATATTCGGTCAGCGTATATTTGGTTTCACATTACCCACACATATGATACAGCACGTACATGAACGCACTTATGGTGACCGATATTAAATACAAATTTTAATAATTCCGATGATGGGAAAAAATGATGAGAAATTAATATTCGTTTTTAATATTCCTCTTTTCTGTTTTCGCTGTCGCGCAATGATATTGGTTATTTAAATATGTAAATTATTTTTACTTTAATATTTACAAAAGGAAAGAAACAAAAGAAAATTTATTTAAATTTATATGTTTATTGGTAAAAAAATTTTATGCAATATCTTTATGCAATTTCATAAATAATATATTTTATTTTTATCTTCCTATATATATATACGATTACTAATAATTAATATAATATTCATAACTATTCACGTTTTCTAATACTTTTGAAGTATTAGAAATACTTTGAGCCCGGTCATTGCGAAACGACATTCGGTTTTACATAAGCGTAAACGACTATTCATTTAAAATTACGTAAATCAAGAATTCTCATCCACTTCGACGTATCATCCTTTCTTCGATCGTTCGAAATATATTTTTCTCTCGATAAATCATTTGGCAAAAACTTTCCGATTCGTTGGATAAATATACTCGTTTCTTCCATCCTTTGCGTGGAAAATTATAAAAATCGACGATCAAAGGGCGGTCGGAAAAATGTGCCGGGCTGAAAGCTAAAAAAAAAAAAAAAAAAAAAAAAAAGGTGAAATTGTAATTAATCTCGGTCGCGATTCCGGATTTAATATCCCACACACATATTTCACTTATGCCGATCCCCCATACGCAGCACGGACATATTTTAATAATATTATTGGACTTGGTATGTATGTCGTTCAGGGGGTCAGTCTCGGGCAGTCTGGGAGGATGTCACCGGTTCGACGCCATTGACGTTTGTGAAAGATTGCGTTTCCTTTACTACCACGGTATCCGCTCGCTTCTGGTTAATGGATTGTCGGAATATATCCGAAGCCACGAAAATGGCTACGGAGCTATACACACACGCGACACACGTACCTTTTATGGCTAAGTACGTTTTTTGATCTACCTAAGATTAATTCAAAAACACAAATTAACCGTAACCGTAATCGCAGGTAGAACAATTTCCTCTAAAAAAAAAAAAAAAAAAAATCGGATCGATATCGAAACGTTACGATTTTTCTGTGCCGGCAAGACGAGTAAGGAAGAGAGCTCTTCAGCTTGCTCAGTAGATTTATTATCACACCCTAGTGAATATTATCGTATAGAGAGTAACATATATATATATCATTTCTTTGCATATCTTTTTTTCAGAATAGACATATCGATTTTTCTAGAAAAAGAATTTTTCAATTTTTAAGACGTATATAATCGCAAGATATATTTGTAGAAAGAGATAGTTTTTTTTCCCCTCTCTCTTCGATCAATCTCGCAATCTCTATATATATATATATATTTTTTTCTATATTTTCAATTACCATTCAATTACGTTTTACCTGCATGATTACATCTCTTATCGTTTACGTGCGGAGGGGAATGTTATCGAACCGTTTGTTCCGTTCTCAGATTTGTAGTATTTGCAAAGCGAGTAGATCCATTGGAGGCAAGATTGCGCGTATTTTGTATGACCGACGATAAAGAGGACAAGACCTTGGAAAATCAAGAGCACTTCACGGAAGTAGCGAAGAGCCGAGACGTGGAGGTAAAGTATTACCTTCGTGCAATTTAATCGCGTGCGAATCGTACATCGTATACACGTTGTAATTATCGTATTGTTGCGCGTTTCACATCCTCCGCGAATCCATCTTTCCCACAGGTGTTGGAGGGGAAAACGCAATACATGGAGTTTTCGGGTAACCTCGTGCCGGTGTTGAAGAGCGGCGAACAGCTTCAATTGCCGTTCAGAGCTTTCAAGGAGAACAGAGTGCCGTTCACGGCGAGAATAAAGGATCCGGACGCAGCCGATATGATGGGTCGAATAATGTTCATGAGCGAGCCGAAGGTTCCTAAAGGCGAATTGCCTCAGACCCCTATATGCACGTTGAACATTTTGTTGCCGGAGAAAATCTCACCGGAGCCTGCCGTCTCCGAGGTCGATTTATTAGAGCTCTCGAAGAATTATAGTTTTCTACGCGACGGCGGAATAAGTATGTAACGAGTTTTCCTCTATTCTCTCTCTTTGAACACCGAAAGATCTATCGAGAGAATCTATGAGAATTGTAAACGTTAATTATCTCTTCAGGCCGTCCAGACGCTATTCACAGAGCTACTATTCGATTGACCGATATTGCAAATTTGTTGGACAAAGATTGGGAGAAACTCGCGGAGGAATTAAACGTACCGCCGAACGAAGTGTCGACGATCAAGCAAGAGTACGCTAACAAACCGGCGCAGCAAGCCGCAGCGATGCTCAAAGTTTGGCAGAGCAATGGAAATAAAGCAACAGGTAAACGCGAATGAATATTTTCGAACGAAATGTTATTCTAAAAATTTGCTCGAGCTTGTTGAATCTGACGATTTTTACGGTGAATATCACAGTGAATATTTAGCAACTGTTTTGTATTTTACACGAATAACGTATCTGCGTAATTTGGATAAAAAAAAATTTTATCCGTATAAATATTTAAACGCTTGAATTAAATAATTGAGTATTACGAGAACACGATATGAGAAACGAAAACATTTAGGATTACATTTTTAATATGGTTATTATCTCGTTGTGCCGAATGATATCGGTAAATGTTCAAACAAGGAATATACATTCGTTTTGGTGATCAACATTTGAATATTTCATATGATTAAATATGTTATAATTAAATATGGGACAAGGAGAAGATTCATAGTTTAAAACGATAACTCTTACTTATTTTTAGTCATTATTTGACAAGTTTAATTAAATGAGCGATGATACGCGCAGTGTTGTCAATATTCGTTATTTCATCTTTATAAATATATTCGTAATATAGTTCTCAGATTCGCAGTAGTAATCTCTATATCTCTACTACGTACTTCTTTTCAATTTCGATACGTCACGTTTTTAATCTTAATTATCTCTCTAATTTATTCTATTATTTTTATCTTCTTATCCTCCTATTAGTGAGGCGCTATTAAGTATTGCGCACTATTTATAAATACACGATATTTTTTTTATTAATTTAAATTTTATACTTTTGCCAATAAAATTTATCCTCAATTTTTGCTATTCACGGTGTGATAAACATGTTTATATCGTTGAACTATTTTTTTTTCTTTTTTCTTTTTTCTTTTTTTTTTTTTTTTGAGATTGAGTGAAACGTCCTCTCCTGCGTAGACAAACATTAGATATATAGTAACATTACATTAGAGATAATAAAATTTAGAAAAAAAAAACCTGTTTCTCGGCAAGGTCGATTAATCAGACAGGCTATGTTTGACTAAGACGCGTGGAATCTGAGGAGCAACGTAGTTGGTGATCTCATCCTGCATTATTATGCCTGACATAAACCTATGGACTCCTTTCCCCCACTTTTTTTTTTGCCAGTACTAATGACACTGATGTACGACAGAAATGCACGTAGCACATCGTTTCTGTTCTGCAATCGGTTAAAACAAACAGAAGTATACGCGCCATCTCGATAAAAAAACACAGTGAAAGTGATCGTGCATATTATTTATAGCGTTTTTTTCGAACCATCGTCTTCCCAGTTTATTACGCTTCATTTAATTTTCATTTCAATTATTATTCTTATTGTTTCCTTCTTTTATTCTTGCGAAGGCATAAACGCACAAGATGTTTATATCTTTGTATCAAGAATACGAAAACGAAGCGACCAACACGTACGTCAGTGAATTGTCCGTATTATTTAGGAGATCGCCTTGTCAGAGATGTCAGATTTCGATGAGCTCAGGTATTGTATCAAGGATATACCGATGAAATATTCATCCTTGACATCTTTGTTAGATCGATGATGAATAAATTTCGCGTGATTCGTAAAAGAATTATTTTGATTTGAATTTATTATTATTATTATTATTATTATTATTATTATTATTATTATTATTATTATTATTATTATCGGTCGATCGATATTTTATTTGGATTATTTATTAAATTGAAAATAATATTTTTTTTGTTCGTTCGTTCGTAGGAAATACTTTGGAGAAAGCGTTAAACAAAATTGGCCGCGATGACATAGTGAAAAAATGTATATTCAACGTTGAATTGATTACCGACGACGTGGAGAAAGCTGTCGCGAGAGTTCGACTAGATCAACCTGGATTTGATTCTTTGAAAGAAGAATTGGGTCCTTCGAGGGACACCTCTCTTCGCCGTGACGCGACGATGGATCCAAAGATGAATCCCGATTACGATGACTTTAATAAGAGCAAGGTTTGTATTTATGGAAAAAAGGGGGAGAGGGAGAGGGGGGAGAAAGGAATATTTATTATCTTGTTTACAAATTTACTTTCTTTTTATTCAAATAAATTTTTTCTTCTTTAGGAGTCGGGATCTATGGAAGAACTCGATACAAGCGGCACTAAACGAGATAAATGTACGTATATTTGAAAAATCTTTTTATATCTTATGAATTATTATAATTTTTACATATTAAAATCTCTTTATTATAAAGTATATAAAGCAAAAAAAAATATTCTTCGAACGGAATGACGTTTACAATGCTATACTCGTTCGATTACATTAGAAAGGATATGACATCACTGCTTGCATTATTTCTGTGAATAACACATTGGCTCTACTTCGTTTCATCGCTAAGAAAAATATGTGAAATCATAATCTTTCTTTTACACTTCTTAGAAAGCACATTTATATTTGTCTATATTTATATATGTATATAATATCTATACTATTTGTGTGAAAAATATCTACTTATATAACGCAATATTTGCTACAGTTGCACATTGATATATACGTGTGTAGTATACGTTTTAAAAATATCTGAAATAGATATTATTTGCTTTCTAAATAACTTACTTTTAAACTCGATTTTGTACAGTTAATAAATATTATCTATATCGATCAATACAATTTAAAAAAAAAACAATATTTATTTTTAATTGATTTATTTTTTATAAGTAAAAATAATACGATGATTTGTTCGTTATTTCTGTATGTATATTTTTTGGCGCTTTGACGAATCAGCAATACAATTTTTCACAACGTTTTAAATCACATATTTTTTTTTTTTTTTGCACTTAACAGCAAAACAGCATGTCACGATCACAAACGGCACTGTATTCAACGGAACCTCGACCCCTATCAAAGATAAATACGCAAGCGAGGAGAAAGAACTGGGGGATGTAATGGCCGATTTTCTCGAGCACAAATGTCACGTTAGCGATACGATGAGCAAAAAGTTGCGCGATGAACTTGACGACAAAGACAAAAAACGACAGAGGGTGATCGCAGACGCCAACAAAATAGTATCCGGTAAGTGATTTGAGAATTTTTTTAAAAATGCGATGGGTTGAGGGGCCGTGCTTTGATTAGCTATTGGAAATTAAACAGAAGAAGAAAAAAAGAAAAAACATTCAATCCGCAACTTAACTTAAAATCATCATTTATAATAATAATAATAATATTTCTTTAAAACAAAAAAAAAAAAAAAAAAAAAGAAAAGAAAAGAAACGCAGAAGCATGATTATTAATTTAATGCGATAATATCACGCTTGGTTAAAGAACAACTTATACAATTAACTACATATTGATAAAATTTCAATCGCTAGTGCTGAATAGTTGTATATTCTGAAACTTTGCTTTTTAGTGATATCGTGTTCGTAGCTATAGTCTATATTGATGTGCAAATAAATGTAACGATTGTCTCTTTTATCGATACATGCATTATTTAAATCTCAGTATATATTATTTATTTCATATAATTTAAATAGAAAAATTTCATTGCTTTTTTTGATTATTTCAACTGTTAATATAATTAATAGTTATTAGTAATTAAAATATTTAGATATTATTAATAATTGTTTCTTAATGTTTGTACATGTTTTATTTTTTTTGTGAAAATTTATCGTAATTTATGATTATTTAGCTTCGTCGAGTTAATTCCATGAATTTATTCTATATATACTATATATATATATTTTATTTTTTACGTTATAAAACGAAAATCATTGTTTAACTAAGAATGATATGGATATTTTGAGAATTAAAAAAATATAATTATTATTCAAAAAAATTACAATAATAATCTCTTGTATCTCGTATCTATCTTTAATTTATACATTTTTTTTCTTTTAATTTATTTTTACAAAAATTGTATTCTATTCTTGGTTCTACTATGATTTTCATTATGTATTGGCAGAAATAAATAATAATTTCTTCTTTCATTATTTACAAAACAATAATTGGGATCGATATACTGATTATTAATGTTTTGGAAATAATGATATTTATTATATTCTATCAAGAATTGTGGAACAATTATCCATCCGTTTTTTAATCTTATTAGAATTTTTTAATTTTATTAGATATTATTAATTACAACGTTAATCATTCGATATATTTTCTTTTCTGATATTAGAAACCAGGTGATTATTATTAGAAGTTTTTTTTAGCACGGCATTGACTTTGGACACGAATCACAAATGTGAAAGTTAATTAGCTCTTATGAAATATTATTGGCACTAGAACATTTCCTTCTTTTACTTTGTCACCTTTTTTTTTTATTTTATCATCTTTTACTTTCACTCACAGGTTCTGGAGGGCTGATGCGGATTTCCTTCAAATTTATCAGCTTGCTTTTATTTTTTAATTTACATAATGGACAATTTATTTTATTGCCTATTCAATCTCATATCTACTGTATTATAATGCGAACTCTCAATGTCTTCATTTTAATGACCCACTAATAGCCTTCTATTTCTTCGACACGTCCCATTAATTTGTTTCAGCAAGGTTTTACCGCAATTTTTTGGCGTTGCATGTGTGGCCAAATTTTGTGTGGCCTAATTGTGCGGACGCACGGAGCAGTTGTCGTTGTCTCACTTACACTTATTTCGCCATTATTTTTATCTGAAAAATCAAAAAAACAAATTACACATTTAAAACTATTCTCATTGCAAAAATATTGGAAAATTTATTACGATTTAATTCCACTCGTAATAATTCTCTCTTTCGTTACGTATTTTTAAATTTACAATTTAATCAACTTTAATCATTCGAAATTGAATTATTAACTTTCCTTCTCGAAACTGCTTTTGCAACAATTCGATTAATTCAATTTATCGTCGATCATTATTATTATTTTTTAAACGCAAGTGTAAATCGTTGGACAAAGAAGGATGACTGCTCCATAGCACATATATACCACGCACAAAAACCACACGAGAGTCTAACTTAACGCTGTTCTTTAAAGAGCAATATCGAGCGAGCCGGCTTACACTAATGATGGCGAAATGAAATAAAAAAAAATAAATAAATAAATAAATAAAAAAAACAAATGTGTTCTTTCTATTTTGCAACGTTTACAGATGCCTAAAATATGTAATACTTAATTAACAGGTGTAATAGCAGACGCAGAGAAAGCGAAGGGGAAGTTAGCTAAGGAAGGGTGGTCGGTGGTTTATGATGATGATGATGATGATGATGATGATGATGATGATGATACGCGAGACAATAAAGAGGCAAGAGGTGCTATAGTCGAAAGTTTTGTTAGGGAACAGTTTGTTAAGAAAAAGCCTAAGGATAAGATCCTTATGGGCGAGGAAACGATTACGATCGATCGAACGCCAATCGTCGAGCCGACGATAGTTAAGCAGCGTGTCGTTCGCGATGGGAAGGGAGACTCTAATGCGAGGATAGTCACATCGAAAACTGTAGTTTCCGTGATGGAGGGTATTCGGGAACCGGTGATCGGTGAACAAGAAACGATGAAAGAGATGGGTCGAACGTCTGCGGACGCAGCGAGGATCCCCAACGGTAAACAGAGCGCGATAAGCAAGAAGGAGATGATGTCGAGAGAAGGTAAGGAAATCGACGAGAAATTGATACCCGCTGGTATCGTATCGATAACGTCGAAGAGAGAGAAGGAGGAGGACGCGAAGAAGGGGAAGGAGGTCGAAGAATCGAAAGTTAACATTCCAAAGGAGGGGAGACTCACGACCGACAAGCAGGTATCCGCTTACGAGAGCGTTTACAACGCCCAACATCCATCCACGGACGAGAAGCAAGAGGATGAGTCGAAGAAGTCGAAGGACAAGAGCGGCGGGGGTATATTGTCCGGGATCTTTAAGGGATCCAAACTTAAGAAGAGCAAATCGAAAGGATCGAAGGACACGTCTTTCGATAGCGGCGACGAGGAATCGAAAGTGGCGGCGACTAATAATAAAGAGGTTAAAGAGCAACAAACGAAACCGTCTACTTTCGTTTCGTACGACGCTTACATGGATATGAAACCTGCCGAGCAAACCGCGACCGACATTAAATTGGCCACGATGCAATTCTTGGACGAGTCGAGACGCCTGGCTTCGGAGGTGCACGCGCTCGACAGTGGATTGATCACCTCGACTCGGGTCGAGGATAAGGAAGAAGGGAAGGAAACGATCAAGAATGGGGCAGATCGAGGCGTGCAGGCGGACGACACCAGCGATCAGGAGAGAGAGAAAGGTGGTGGTTTCTTCGGTATGTTCAAGAGTCCAAAGTCGAAGGAGAAGAGATCGAAGAAGAGCAAGGAGTCGTCGTTGGACAGTGGCGACGAGGAGGTTCGAATCGCCACGGAGAGATTGTTGGACGATACGCGAAAGGTTGCCGAAAGCACGATCGTTGTTCCCTCATCCCCCACAGTGGACGGGAAACAGGATCTGTACACGTTCATCTCGGAGGTTCGTTACAACGAGGACACGCCCAAGGATAAATTGAACGGGCATTCGTACGATGTTTCGGAGATTCGTAGGAAGGGGGAGGCGGAAAAAAGCGGCGCTCGCAAAGAAAGTGACGGAAAGTCGGAGGCGAGGAAGCGGGACAAAGAGCACAGCGATAAAAAGTCGGGTTCCCCGGAGAAAAGGGTGATAGGTGAGAAGGAAGAGGAGGAGGAGGAGGGTAAGGAGAAGGGGGGCGGATTCTTCGGTATGTTCAAGAGTCCGAAATTGAAGAGCAAGAAGAGGAGTTCGTCGAGGGAGAAGAGCTCCTCGAAGGAAGCGTCGTTCGACAGCGGAGACGAGGAGACGCGGCAACTGACGGCGGAATTTTTGGAGGATACGAGGAAAGTGGCGGAGAGCATGCACCGCGAAGGCTGGAGGCAAATGGGTGAAAGGATGACGCCGGGCGAGGGGGCAGCAGCCCCCACGGAGGCATCCGCGGAGCCCGTGGACAAGGACAGAGGTGGGATCTTCGGCAAATTCAAGAGTCCAAAATTGACGAGAGCGTCGCGAAGCAGGTCCCGAGAAAAGAGCAGCGGGCCGCCGCAAGAGGCGACGAGTCCCTCGATCGACACCTCGACCCGTGACGCGGCGTTGGACGCGAAAGAAAAAGTAGAGGACGCGACGGACGCGATGGCGAACGGAGGCGAGGCGGCGAGAGACAAAGCCTCGAAGGAAGGCAAGAAGGGTAAGGAGAGGAGCGGCGGCGGCGGCGGCGGCTTCCTATCCGGCTTGTTCAAGGGGGCGAAGCACGCTGCGGACGAGGCTTCGGAGGAGGTCAAGGAGGCGGTTGGCGAAGGGAGAGATCGCGCGAGAGAAGCGGTGGAGGGGAAGTCGAAAGAGGTGGACGCGGCGAGGGACAAGGCTGTGTCGGAAGCGAGGGACGGAAAAGACAAGGCGATTGCCGTTCTGAAGGACGGTGGAAAGGTGTTCGTGGATACCGGGAAAATTGCCGGGGAGAGAGTGGTGGATGCTGCGAAAGGGGTGGAAGGGAAGGTGGAGGATGCGGTTGACGGCGTAAAAAGAATTGGAAGGGACGGAACGTTGGAGATAGGGAGAAACGTTAAAGACGTCGCAAACGGTATCGAGGATAAAATCGGGGAGAAGGTAGGCGAGGGCGCGCAGAAGGCGGCCGATGGCGGGAGAGCAGTGACGGATAAAGCAACGGAGGGGATAAAGGACGTGGAGTCAGCCGGGCGAAGCGTGGGCGAGGGCGCGAAAGCGAGCAAGGACAAGGTAGCTAAGGAGGTTAAGGAGGACATGGACGCGGCGAGGCAGAAGATGTCTTCTGGAATAGACTCGGCGGCAGAGAAGGCCGCGAAGGAAGCGAAAAGGGGGAAGGAAAAGAGCGGCGGATTCCTCTCTGGACTGTTCAGAAGCGCGAAACACGCGGCGGACGAAGTTTCCCAGGAGGCGAGAGAGTCGGTCGAGGAGACGAGGAAGGAGGTTGGCGAGGAGGAGGCTCGCGCTCGCGAGGCAGCGGCGGAGAAATCGAAGGAATTGGACGAGGCTGTTAAAGAGAAATTGGTAATCGTTGGCGAGAAAGCGAGCGACGTCGAGGAAAGGGCGGACGCTGCGATCCGTGAGGCGATCCGCGACGCGGGCGCGGCCAAGGACGAAGCGATGGCGAAGGTCGCAACGAGCGCGAAGGACGTCGGCGATAAGATCGCGGAGGGGGCGAAGGACGCCGAGGCGAGAGTGGAAGCAGCCGTCAAGGCAGCGAAGGACAAGGTGGGCAAGGAGATGAGAGAAGACGGCGAAGCGGCGAAGCAGAAGGTAGCGTCCGGAATAGAGTCGGATGCGGCGAGAGACAGGGCCGCGAAGGAAGCGAGGAAAGCGAAAGAGAAGGCCGGTGGTTTCTTGTCTGGGCTGTTCAAGGGTGCGAAGCACGGCGCGGACGAAGCTTCCGAAGAGGCGAAGGAGTTGGTCGAGGAAACGAAAAAGGAAGCGGTCGAGGAGGAGGGTCGAGCGACGAGAGACGAAGCGGTGGCCGATGCGATCGACGTTAAGGACAAGATCAGCGAAAAAGTATCGGATGCCGCGGCTAGAGCTGTCGGCGAAAAGACGATTCCGGGCGACGATACCGTGGAACGGGTAACGATCGATGGCTCGAAGGCAGCCGAGGACAGGGTGGCGGCGGGTACAAAAGCCGTGGAAAACGAGGCTGCGTCGGTTGCAAAGGACGCGAAAGACGAGATCGGCGATGGCGGTCGGAGAGACGCTGGAAAAGCGGTTGGAGAGAAGATTGCGGACGGCGCGGAGAAGATGAGAGACGCGGGCGTGCGTGAAGTGGTGGACGCCGCGAAGGCGGGAAAGGAGAAAGTAGCGAGGGAGATCGGAGACGACACGGATGCAGCGAAACGGAAGATCTCGTCCGGAATAGGGGCAGTGGTGGAAGGGGCGGGTGGCGCGAAGGACAAGACGGCGAAAGAGGCGAAGAGAGCTAAGGAGAAGACGGGCGGATTTCTCTCGGGACTGTTCAAGGGCGTGAAGAACGCCGCGGACGAAGTTTCGGACGACGTTAAAGAATTCCTGGAGGAGACGAGGAGGGAGGCGTCGGAGGAGAAGGGCCGCGTACGAGACGCGGTCGAGGAGAAGTCGAGGGCGGCCAAGGACGAGGCGGCCGAGGATAGAGCGGCGACCGCTGCCAAAGACGCCAAAGACGCGTCGTTCGCGAAGGTGTCCGACGCCGAGCGAGAAGCGTCGGATGCGGGGAAGGGCGTCGGCGAGAGGATGGCCGAGGGGGTGAAGGAGAAAACGGAGAGAATCGCTGGGGCGGCGATCGACGGCGCGAAGAAAGCGAGGGACGAAGGTGGCGCGGTCTCGAAGGACGCCGCGGAAAAAGTTGCGATCGTCGCGAAAGAGGCGAGGGACAAGGTGGCCGAGGGCGTGGACGCGGTGGCGGACGGTGCCAAGGACAGAGTCTCGAAAGAGGGGAGGAAAGGTAAAGAGAAGACGGGTGGTTTCCTCTCGGGACTGTTCAAGAGCGCGAAACACGCGGCGGACGAAGTCTCCGAGGACGCGAGAGGCTTGGTCGATGAGACGTGGAAGGAAGCGGGTGCAGCGAGAGAGAGAGCAGTGGCGGATGCGAGAGACGCGAGAGACAAAGTTGGGGAAAAAGCGGCGGATGGCGCGCGGAAGGTGTCCGAGGTTGGGAAAACTGCGATCGAGAAAGCGGAGGAGGGAGTGAAACGAAGAGCGGACGCCGTCGCGAGAGACGCGAGCGAAGCTGCGAAAGCGGCCAGGGATAAAGTGGTCGCCGAAACTTTGGACGCCGAGGATAAAATGGCGGTGACGGCGAAGGAGAGGAGGGACGAGATCGGCGAAAAGGCGGTTGAAAGCGTTGGAAAGGTATCGGACGCTGGAAAAGCTGCGGGGGAAGAGTTAACGAAAGGCGCGAAGAGAGCCGTGGACAAAGCTGGAGAGATGGTCCACGATGCGAGTAGCGGTGCGAAGGCGACCAAGGACGAGCTGGCGCGGGAAATTAGGGAGGATGGCGAGGCTGCGAAACGGAAGATATCGTCCGGCGTGGATGCCGTAGTGGATGGCGGCGCTGCGGCGAAAGACAAGATCGAGAGGGAGGCGAAGAGGGCGAAGGAGAAGGGTAGCGGTTTCCTTTCCGGTTTGTTCAAGGGAACGAAACACGCGGCGGACGAGGTCGTGGACGACGCGAAGGACTTTCTGGAGGAAGCGAAGAGAGAATCGTCGGAGGAGAAGACACGCATTTACGAAGCGATGGAGAAGACGATCGAGGACACGGCCGCGGCCAAGGACAAAGCGATTATCGAAGCGAGGGACGGGAAGGTGAAAGTTGGAGCGAAAATTTCGATCGGTGAAAAGTTGGAAGATGGGGTGAAACGGAGGGGAGAAAGGCTAGAATCTACGGCTCGAGAAGCGGTTACGGACGCGAAGGATGCCAAGGAGAAAATCGGCGAGAAAGTGGCGGATGTTGGCAAGAGGGTGGAAGAAGGGATCTCGAAGGCAGTTGGGGACGCGGAAGCGTCTGCTCGCGAGATAGGCGAGGGCGCGAGAGTGGCGAAAGATAGGGTGGAGAAAGAGGACGCCGCCGCCGCGAGGCAAAAGATCTCGTCGGGCGTGGATGCGGCGATGGATAGCGCGGACGCGGCTAAGGAGAAGATTGCGAAGGAGGCGAAGAAGGGTAAAGAGAAGGGCGGAGGTTTCCTCTCGGGCCTGTTCAGAGGCGCGAAACACGCCGCGGAGGAGGCCTCGGAGGGGATGGAAGATTTGCTGGACGAAACGAAGAGGGTAGCGGGCGAGGAAGAGGCCGGTGCTCGCCAGGCGGTGGAAAAAGCCGGGAGAGATATCGACGCGGCGAAGGAGAGAGCGGTTGCAGAGGCGAGAGACGCGAGAGATAAGGCGGCGACCTCGATGAAACGCGCCAAGGACGAGGTGGGCGAGAAAGCGTCCGAGGGTGTGAGAACGCTAACGGCGGTTGGCAAGGGTGTCGTCGACGGAACGAAGGACGCGACGAAACGAGCCGAAGCCGTTGCTCGAGAAGCGGCCGACGGCGTTGAAGCGACGAGGGAGAAACTAGCCGTGGACGCGAAGGACGCGAAGGACAAACTCGCGGACAAAGCGGCGGACACGGTGCGAGCGATCGGGGAGAAAGTTAAAGGCGGGGCGGAGGAGGTTGGTCGAGGATTGGCCGACGGCGCGAGGCGGACGGTCGCGTCTGGAATGGACGCGGTAGCGGATAGCGCGGTATCGGCCAAGGAGAGAGCCGGCAAGGAGGGCAGAAGGGCTAAGGAGAAAGGCGGTGGCTTCCTTTCGGGATTGTTCAAGGGCGGGAAACAGTCGGCGGACGAAATTTCGGACGACGCGAAGGATCTGCTCGAGGAGACGAAGAGGGAGGCGTCGGAAGAGAGCGGCCGTTTGCGCGACGCGGCCGACGAGAAGTGGAAGGGCGCGAAAGCGGCGAAAGACGAGGCGATCGCCGGCGTCGAGGACGCGAAAGATGGAGTGAAACGCACCGAGGATACGATCGGTGGGAAGGTGTCCGACGCCGCGCGGAAAGTGACGGATGTTGGAAAGAGCGTGAGCGACGAAGCGAAACGCGCGGCGGAGATAACGGAAACGAAGATTCGAGAGGCGGCCGACGGTGCGAAAACGACGAAGGACAAAATCGGCGCGGAGCTCGAGCGCGTCGAGGCTGAAGCGGCGACAGCCGCCAAGGACGCGATGGAAACGATCGGCGAGAAACTGGGCGATGGTAAGCAGAAAGCGCGCGAAAGCGGAAAAGCCGTGGTGGAAGGTGCGAAGAGGGCCGAGGATAAAGTGGCGAGGGAAATGGAAGCTGGAAGAGAGAGAATTTCTTCGGAGATGGATAGAGCTGCGGAGAGTGTAGCGGCGGCGAAGGACAAACTGGCGAAGGAGGGTAAGAAAGGGAAGGAAAAGGGCGGCAGATTCCTGTCTGGATTGTTGAAGAGCGTGAAACAGGCGGCGGACGACGTTTCGGAAGACGTGAAAGAATTCGTGGGCGAGAAAAAAAGAGAGGCTGTTGAGGAAGAGGCGCGCGCTCGGGAAGCTGCGTCCGGAAAACTGAAGGATCTCGGTGCAGCGAGGGATAAAGCGGTCGATGACGCGAAAGAGGCGAGAGACAAAGTCAGGGACGCGGTGAAGGATGGGAAGGAGAAGGTGGAGGAAAAAGCGTCCGATATCGCGCGACGAGTAACGGACGCTGGCGGAGCCCTGGGTGGGAAAGTTTCGAGCGTTGCGAAGGATGCCGAGGCGGCCGTGAAAGATTTGGCGGAGACAACTAGGGACGAGGTAACGGCCGGCGTAAGAGACGCGGAGGACAGAGGCGCGTCTCTGGCAAAGGGCGCCGAGGAGAGGATCGGCGAGGCTGTGTCCGATACCGCGCGGAAGGTGGCGGATGCCGGGAAAGCGGTTGGAGAAAGGATCGCAGACGGCGCGAGGAAGGCGGAGGACGGAGCGGAAAAGGTCGGCCGCGAGATATCGGATGGTGGGAAAGCGGCGAAGGACGCGGTGGTGAAAGAAATCGAGGACGACGCCGAAGCGGCGAAGGAGAAAGCGTCGGCGGCGGTAGACGCGGTTACGGAGGGGGCAACGTCCGCCAAGGACAAGGCTGGGAGGGAAGCTAAGAAAGCGAAAGAGAAGAGCGTGGGCTTCCTCTCGGGGCTGTTCAAGGGAGCGAAACACGCGGCGGACGAAGCGTCGGGGGACGCGAGGGAATTCCTGGAAGAAGCGAGGAGGGAAGCGGCGGAGGAGAAGGCCCGGTTGCGCGAAGCGGCGGAGGCGAAGGCGAAGGACGTCGACGCAGCCAAGGACCGAGCCGTGGCGGACGCGAAACGAAAAATTGTGGGAATCGCTGGAGACGAAGCGGTTGGGAGAATATCCGAGGGTGTAGAGAGAACGACGGACGCCGGTAGAGCTGCCGGCGAAAAAATCGCGGATGGCGCGAGGCGGGTACAGGCGAAGACGGAAGCGGCGGCTCGCGAGGCGACGGATGCCGTCGAATCCGCGAAGGAGAAACTAGTTTCGGATACGAGGCGCGTTGGAGAGAGGATCGAATCTGCCGCGAGAGACGGCAAGGATCGAATCGGCGAGAAAGCGAAAATGGCCGAGGACGAAACGATGGCCGTGGCTCGAGATATAGCAGGCGCCGTTAAAACGGCAAAGGACAAAGCTGCGAAGGAGGCGAAGGAGGACGTTGAGATCGCGAAGGAAAAAGTGTCGTCCGGCGTAGAATGGGTGGTGGACGGTGCGTCGAGTACGAAGGAAACGATCTCGAGGGAAGCGAAGAAGGCTAAAGAGAAGGGCGGCGGTTTTCTTTCCGGCCTGTTCAAAGGTGCGAAACACGCGGCAGACGAAATTTCGGAAGACGGGAAGCACTTGGTCGACGAAGCGAAGAAGGAAAGTGCGGAAATGGGCGAGAAATTAGGAAAGGGCGTCGACGCGACGCGAGACAAAGGAATCGCAATTGCGAGAGACGTCGAGGACAAAGTTGGCGACAAGGTGTCGGAAGGTGTGCGAAAGGTATCCGAGGTTGGTAAAGCTGTTGGCGAAAAGGTGACGGATGGCGCGAAGGAGATTGGCACGGGGGTTGAAACCGGGGCGAGGCAAGTAAGAGACGCTGCAAAAGCGACGAGAGATAAAGTGGCGGCTGGCGTGAAGGATTGCAAGGACGAAGCGATCGCCTCTGCGAGGGATGCCAGGGATAAAGTCGCGGAGAGAGTGGTGGAGGGTGGCGAAGCGGTTGGGGAAAAAGTCGCGGCTGGTGCGAAGAGAGTGGAAGCAGCCGTTGGAAAAGCGGCGGACGAGACGAAAGGGACGAAGGACAGAGTATGTAAAGAAATTCGAGACGATGTCGAAAGTGTGAAGCAACGAGTTTCCTCGGGGACAGATGCGCTAGTCGAGGGTGCAACCTCCGCGAAGGATAAAGCGACGAAGGAGGCTAAGAAGGCTAAGGAGAAGGGTAGCGGCTTCCTTACGGGATTGTTCAAGGGAGCGAAACAGGCGAGCGACGACGTTGCCGACGAGGTGAAGGAATTTCTGGACGCGACTAGGAGAGAGGCAGCGGAGGAAGAAGCTCGAGCCCGCGAGGCGAGGGACAAGGCAGCTGCGGAGGCGAGGGACGCCGAGAAGGCAGCGGGCGAAAAAGTATCGGGCGTTGGCAAAGTGGTTGACGAGGGGGTGAAACGAGTCGAACAGCGGACGGATGCTGCGATTCGTGACGCGGTCGATAGCGCGAAAGCGGCAAAAGATAAATTAACAACGACGGACGCCAAGGATAAAGCTGTCGCGAGAGACGCGAGGGATAAAGCGAAGGAGAAGGCGAGCGAGGGTGGAGAGAAAGTATCAGAAGCGGGTAAACGAGCGGTGGGAGAGAAAGTAGCAGTGGACGGCGCGAAGAAAGTTGAGGCCGAAAATATAGGTGCAAAAGCGGCGAGGGAGGAGGAGAAAGTAGAAACGGAGAAGGAAGCGGACACGGCAGCGGATAGTGCGTCATCGGCGAAAGATAAAGTAGCAAAAGATGCTAAAAAAGGGAAGGAAAAGGGTAGCGGTTTCTTTTCCGGATTATTAAAGAGCGCGAAGCATGCCGTGGACGAAGTGTCGGAGGAGGTGAAGGAGTTCGTTGACGAAACGAAGAAGGAGACCGCGAAGGAGGAGGCGCGGGCGCGCGAAGCGTTGGCGAGGAAAGCGGATGCGGCGAAGGATAAGGCCGGGGCTGACTGGAACGATGCGAAGGATAAGGTGAGGACAAGCGCGAAAGACGCGACGGACGCAGTTGGAGGAAAAATAACCGAGGGGGTGCAAAAGGTATCGGACGCTGGGAAAATTGTGAGCGGAAAAATCGTAGAAGGAGCGAAAGGAGTGGAGGCAAAAGCCGAAGCAGCTGCTCGGGATGCGGTCGAGAGTGGTAGAGCTGCCAAGGACAAAGCAATCTCCGACGCGAAGGGTGTTAAGGACGCGATCGCAACATCCGTCCTTGATGCTAAGGACGGTGTCGGTGAGAAAATATCCGAAGGCGTGGAGAGAGTATCGGACGCTGGTTCATTTGTATCCGCCAAATTCGTGGATGGAGCGAAGCGAATTGGCGGTGGAGAAACGGAATCGGTCGCAAGAACGACGAAGGACGCTTTATCGGAGGAAATTAAAGGCGACGCCGATGCTGCGAGGGAGAAAGCGATTTCTTCTGGGGTCGCGGACGAGGCGAGAGACAAAGCCTCGAAGGAAGGTAAAAAGGGGAAAGAAAAGAGTGGCGGTTTTCTGTCGGGGTTGATCAAAGGCGTGAAACATGCGGCGGACGAGGTTTCGGGCGAGGTTAAGGAATTCTTCGACGAGACGAAGAAGGAAGCTGTCGAGGAGGAGGCGCGCGCTCGCCGAGCATTCGTCGCTAAAGCGAAAGAGGCGGACGCGGTTAAAGACGAGATTGCGACTGGCGCGAAAGACGCCAAGGAGAAGATCGGTGAGAAAGTAACCGCTGGTGTGCAAAAGGTGTCGGATAAAGTCGTGGATGGAGCGAAGATCGTGGAAATAAAAACGGAAACTCGAGCGCGAGAAATCGGCGAGAACGTTGAAGCGACGAGGGACAAAGCGGTGGCGGATGCGAAAGATGCCGGAGAAAAAGTTGCAACTGCGGCGAAGGATACGAAGGACAAGATCGGCGAAAAGGTGTCGGAAGTTGGGAAAGGTGTAGGCGCTAAAATTACCGATGGAATAAAGAAAACGGAAGCAAAAGTGGAAACAATCGGTCGGGATGTGAGCGATGGAGCGAAAGCGACGAGGGACAAATTGGTCAAGGAGACGAAGGAAGACAGCTCGATCGTGAAAGAGAAAATCAGCTCTGGGGTGGATACCGCGATGGATGGCGCGAAAGCAGCGAAGGATAAAGCTTGGAAGGAGGGTAAGAAGGCGAAGGAGAAGAGCGGTGGTTTCTTGTCCGGTTTGATCAAAAGCGCGAAACACGCCGCCGATGAAATTTCCGGGGATGTTAAAGATTTCGTGGACGAGACGAAGAAAGAGGCGATCGAGGAAGAGGCTCGCGGCCGCGTGGCAGCGTCCGAAAAATCGAAACAGGTCGAGATTGCCGCGGAAAAAGTTGGCCTCGCGGAAAGTGGGAAAAGTGGGAAAGGCAAGGTTAAAAGCGCGCAGAGAGTATCGGATTCGGGTAAAGCTGGCAGCGAGAGGGACACCGGAAGAATTTTTGGAGAGAAATTATCGAGTCAAGTAGGACAGAGATTCATCGCTGTTAGTAGCGACCCTAAAAGCGCCGTGGCCGAGTTTCTGGAAGAAATGAAACGCGACTCCGCGTGGGACAAGGTGCACTTCCAACACGAGCCGGACGTCCATTTGTACGAAAACGTGGACACGATGTTCGTGAAAGAGAGGAAAGAGGAGGGTGAATCGAGAGAGGGTGGAACGGGGGTGAAACACGAGAAAGAATCGTCAAAAAAATCGGCGGCGAAAGTTGCTTATTCGGTTTTCGATACGCACGATCCACTTTCTGAGCTAGATTCCGAGGCACGGATCAGGCTGTCCGAGAGAGGGGTCGAGGACAGCGATGGTGGCGGGGAATCGATGTTCAAGAAAGTATCTCGCATTCCACAAAGAGTTAGTTCCTCGACGGAACGGGTTAGCCCTAGTAGTTCGTCGGATAGTAGTAGTTCGACGGTTAGGATATTAAATGTATTTAGAAACGTAGAGCACCTCGAGCCTCGCACACGACAAACCGTCACCACAGTCGTAACAAAGTCTGTGCGGACGGCAACGACCCCACCACCCAGTCCCGCCGAGTACACTGACAGTAGAATTGAAGGTATCTTGCAATAATTTGCGTTATATAAATATTACATACCAGCTGTGTGTAACATGATTAATTAAGTTGATGCTTTTCTATAACTTATGTTTTGGTAGTCGTACCAAAATGGCCTAAGAAGGCCATTGCACTCTTATCATTCGTAATGAATATCTAACACTCTTGATCTTAATCACTTTTAGTGTACTAATGTTTACACGATCTTTTACGAAGCAACAACGTCAAACGTACTATAAAGTGTGTATTTTCATTTTTTTTTTTTTTATTTATGTAAAAATACGACGAACAAATACGTGATAACTTTGTCGCTTTTGCGATCACTGTTTCAAAAAATTAGATATTTCAAACTTGTATCATATTTTTTTTTTTTGACAATCTAATCGATCGTCGCGATTGCCCACTTTATAGTATGAGAAATTTAAATGAAAAGAAGATACATCGTGATCGACCGTAGAAAATACATATATAAAAAACAACGTGTTTACCATTATTTCTATTTATTTGCTGTTATTATTTTCAGTTTTTGCGTTTTAACTTTGTTTAACAATTCTTTAATGCATGTTTCCAGGTTTTCTTATGCTATTTTTTAACATTATAATATTATCCACCACCAAAAATGTTTTATATATTCATCGATAACGAGATTTATCGGTCCAAAAAAAAAAAAAAAAGAAAAAGAAAAAAAAACCGACAACCTTTATTTGTATCAGTATTCATTTCTTATTATTATAGCATAACACATAAAACATCATACTGTTATTTATTATACGGTAATATTATTATCATTGAATTAACAGGAGAAAACCACAACTAGAGAAGCATGAACCGAGGTATGCCATGCAGGGATACATCATTCATCTAATCCTTGTCAAATCATTGCTTTTAATGTTTTCATTGTCTCTATTAATCCCACTTATGCCACGTTCCACCTACTTTTCCAGACGTAACCGAAGAGGCGGCAAGACGAGCCCAGGATCTAGCCGATCAAGCACAATCATTGGCGAAATCAGGTAACGTATAGTGCCAACAAAGAAAGTACAGTGAAGAGAGAAAAAAAAGAAAAGAAAAGAAAAGAAAAAAGAAAGAAAACTCACGAAAACACAGATCGCAGGCCCAAGATCGATACGTTAGCAGATTCTATTTTGGTGCCCTCATTTATATTTAGCTTTATCTTCCATAGTTAGCACCTGCCGATGCTTTCACACTAATATTGTGCGCACGTTTCTTACTAAATAGATACCTATTTGCGGCATATAGAGTAAATTGTTAATATATAATCTTCGAGGTAAACGGTAAAAATTCCATACATTTTTTTTTTTTTCTTTTTTTTTTGTACAACAATTTGAATACACTTGGGACACTTTCGATCTATTATCATATGTATAGTAATGTCGAATAAATATATACTATGTGTTTATAGTTGAAACAAAGTAGATTAGAGGAACTTTCATTTTTTTTTTTTTTTTTTTACTTATCTACTTACTTACTTAGCTGGTAGGTAAGACGTACGTTATATACTTTTTTCCCCACCGATTCTTTTTCACCGCTTTACAAATATATTATAATCGCTTTTGATCAGTTCACAAGAATCACGCTTCTATATCGAATTTCCTGCAATAATAATAATAATAATAATAATAATAATAATAATAATAATAATAATAATAATAATAAAAGAGAAAAGAAAAAAAAAGTGAAGAAAAGTTTCCTTTCTTATTTGTAATTTTTGATTAAAAACACACGTTCATTTCGAAAAAATAGTTATTTTGCAGGGTACGTTTTAGTAAGATTCAGGCGCCACGATTCAAATGAGTGTTTTTTTTTTATATATATATATATATATAAAACATACTAATCCCGTTGCAATATTGATACTAACTAACTAAAAAAAAAAAAAAAAAAAGAAATAGAAAAAAAAAACAAACAAGCAAACGAATGTACTAAACGTAGACGTGTGCTGCACACACACACATACATACACGCGCACACACAGGCATATGCGAATATATCAATATATATGCATGCGTGTGTGTATGGGCGCACACGCGAGTTTCGTGTGTATGCGTGCATAAAACGTTTTTGCGATACATAGAAAAAAAAGAAAAAAAAAAAAAAAAAGAAAAAAAAACACGCTGAATCTTTCTTCAGTCCAACTGTCGCAGGCTGGGCTAGACTTGAAATATTCTTAGTGTGTATCAATGTGCTTTATGTCCTTGTTCCTGTTCTTGTCCATGTCCTTTTGGATGGGTCAGGGCATGATTCGGCTGAGATTGATGGGACTCGTGTAGAGAGGCATGCTACTTCTGCTCCAACAAAGCAACCTGTTCCCGCCCCGCGACACTCTACCAGGTCGTCCATCAAAACAGACTTTCATCTAGACTTGGCAGATACCCCGTACACGCCTTACAGTCCGAAAACTAGCAAGGCGAGGGACGAGCAATCGAGACCGGTTCAGGGACACCATTTTTCCCCGGATAAGAACAGCCCGACGAGTAAGATACCGGTGAGAGTAAAGAAATCGATGGAGAACGACGGGAGGGCGAGCAAAATCGAGTTTGACGATCGACGATCGGATTTTGCCGCGACGGCAAATCGGGAAAATGGCGACGACGACGAGTCGCTCGGCGAGAAAGAGGCGCGGCAACCCGAGGAGGACAAGGAGAGAAGCGACTCTTCCCTGAAATCCGAACCGTCGAACGAGACCCAGACCGGAACCATAATAGAAGAGACGTGCTGTTCCGCGCTCCCCATCGACGAACACGAGACCGCTTTCGTAAAGAGAACGGAAACCGTGACCACCGTGATCAGAGAGGAAACGAGGGATCGTCCATCGTTCGTGGACGAAACGACGTCGACGAGAGAGACGTCGACCCGCGTGGAGAACTGGCCGCTCGATTCGACGGCGATATCGAAACACGACGAGAGAGGGAAGACGGAGGTGGTGAGAACGGTGATGACGACTGTCCGATGCGCCACGACCACGGAATCTTATCTTGGGACGGATCGAAGCGAGAGAATCGTGGAAAGAACGGAGCGTGGAAACGGCGTGGATTACGGGGACGATACGGCGACTATACCTCCCACGGTGAAAGGTCGCGATCCAATGCCGTTCGACGTCGAACAGGCGTCGGGTAATATGGTAAAAAGCGACACAGAGTTGTCCGAGCCGTGGGGCCAGGCCAGCCTGTCGGATCGTTCGTTCCCGAACGACGAGAAGGTAGAGCAATGGGAGAGCCAGCTCTCCCAAGACACGTCGCCCGGCTCCGGTAACGGTGACATTTATACTAAGAACGGTAGCTCACGGCATGATTTGAACAGCGACACTGATAGTGACGGTTCACCAAGATCGAGGAGAAGATCTCCGAGCAAGAGGTGTACATTGGGCAGTTCCAGCGGGTCTGATGTAGCACTGCACGAAGGTGCGGAGCTGTCCCCGTTGGAGGACGACCAAGGTACCGCACTCACAGCTAACCTTCTAAGTAAGCAATGTACATATCCCGCTAAACCAACTTACCCACACCCCGAGAGACAATCATCTCAATTTCCGAGAGATTGGTGAATTCATTCTGCGGTTCTCTGTATCGCTTCTTTCTTTCTTTCTTTCTTTCTTTCTTTCTTTCTTTTTTTTCCTGTGTCGTCTATGTACGCTTTCTTCCTCCCCCCTCCCGCCCTCTCTTTTTCTTTTTCCGCATGCCTCCTCCACATGCGCACATTGGTTATTGGCCTCTTACTCGTTTCCGAGTTACGTAGTTACGTAAGTAGTAGAGGGCTTTGTAAAATCCTGATACGTGCACGCTTTAAAGTAAAGGATATGTACGATGCTTATACACGGTTTTATTCACGGTTTGATCGAAGAATTGTTACGAATGTTGCAATCGAATCGAGCAAAATTTAATGTCCAACATGTCGAAAGATAGAATTAGATTATTAACCATGAAACATAGAGCGTTGGAAAAGATGTTTGGATGGAATATTGGATGATTCGTAAGTTTCAGGGTAGATCTTTCTTTATTTGACGACTACGCTGAAAGTTATGAAAATTAAAAGAACGAAAAATTATAATAAGTTGAGAATGGACAATATAACAAATTTTTATATCATTATTGTTAATGATGTTCAGAAAAAAATGATAATGAATTAATATGTTAATATTCGTTGCTGAACGTTGAAAGTTTGATTTTTTTTTTTAAACTAATAAAAACGATTGTATAACATAGCTATTTTGGTGATAAATAGAAACATTATGTCGGTGACTAACTCAATATACTGTTTGTGTTATTTTTGGCACACGAGTGTTGCATGAGCTTAACAATTGCTTGCATAACAATTATAACTCGAGATGTATTTGCACAAGGTGAAAGGATTATTGACGAAAAAAAAGAAAAAAAAAAAATATGATAACTACTCGCAAGGAAAAACAAAGCTTGTGAAATGCAGTGATAAATCTGCATTAATTGTGTGGTTCTTTTTTTTTTTTTGGAATTCTTCGTGGAATTATCGCGGGCAGTGAGTAATTACATCATAGGGGTGGTGATCGATTCAATGTGCTTCGTTTAAAGAGAAGTTTTTACCCTCTTTTTTTTTTTCCTATCGTTGGTTTTGGTTAAACGGACAAAGTTGCGATCAGGTGCTTCTGGGACTAGCATACTTTTCACATTGACGTTCATCCGCAGTCAAACATTTTACACTCGGAGAGCAAACATTTTGTGCAAACTACGCATCCATATCAAAAAAAAGAAATATTGTATTTTAGTTTGCAATCGGGATAAAATTAAATTTTGAAAGTAATTTTTTTTTTTTTCGTTACACTTATCGATAACGAAATACGATATTACTTTTTTTTTTTTTTTTTTTTTAATTAAACAGATCAGATCTATCAGAAAATCATGGATTGACTTGTACGTATTTATCATATACATTCAAGTGGCAAAATATCAATAATATACATGTACACAAAAAATTCTACATACGAGATGTTTCATATAACTTGTTTAAAAAATTAGAAATGTTCATTTCAAAAAATTCAGCATCGAAGTCATTGGGTAATCCTGTAATCCTGCATTGGTCATAATATACTTATACGTGTCAAATATCTGTAACAATCCATCAAAAGATTTAATAATGGCGAAATCGTTAAACAAAATTTCTTTTTCGGCTTCGCAAAATCATCAAGCAAAGCTTTACATTGGGATCAATTTAATTCTTCGATTAAAAAAAAAAAAAAAAGGAGCATAATTCGTCAATAACAAAAGGGACATAACTCAATAGTTGATCATCTTTCGAATTTTATACTTTGTTGAAACGTTCTTGAACGTTCTTTGTTAACTTAAATTCTTCTTCTTCTTCTTATTCTTCTTATTCTTAAAAGAAAAAAAAGAAAAAAAAAAAGAAAAAGAAAAATCAGAAGCATCACTGCGAATCGATCGATCGAACGCGTCGAACGAGAAAATAGCTGCTAATTATTCTCTTCGCATTATTTCGCCCGCTGTTTCTTCATTACTAATCACGGCGTGGGATCACAGAGTTCAATTTGAAATCAATCAATCTTATCATACACGAGTATCATAAGAAAGCGGATAGAGGAAACTCATAGGAGGACGTAATGTTTTTAAAGCGACAGAAACAGACGGTTCGATACGATCAATTTGTTCGAGCGCACGGCGAAGTACAGTAGAGGGAACGCCTAGGACCAAGACTCCCGGTAGATCAAGCTGCGCATATTGGATGAGCGTAGCTGCCGCTACATTGGTGATTCTACTAGCAATATTAGTTGCCTTGGAGCCACGAACGTTCCAACGTGCCATCTACATCCTCTCTTACAATATCCCGAGGCAAGCCGGGTACGGATTTACCCTTCATTTTATTTATCTTTTTTTTTTTTTCTTCTTTTCATCAGGAAAGATTAAAGATTTGAAAAGATTTGCGCATATCCCATGCCCAAAATTTGTCGGTCAGGTTTTAATTAAATTAAACTTATCCGGTTAAAAAGCGTGCGTGAAATTTTTCGTTGTTTGAATAAAAAAGAAAAAAAAAAAAGAAAAAAAAATACGAGTTTTTTTACACGTCTCTAGACACATCGAAAACAAGAATGGGTATATATATATATTTTTTTTTAAAGTATGCACAGTCCCAGAGAAAAGTTTAGACGATTCAAAATGCAATGTATTTAAGATGCAATAACAAACGCAATAATGATACGAAATATAATAGGTAACACGATTTAATTATTACTAATTTTAGAGAAATTTTTTTTTTCTAGACGAATAACTACAACAATTAAAAAAAACTAATTTTCCACTATATATATATATATATATATATTGGTCTAGCTTCTAATATCTTAGAGCATGTAACTGCAAAGCGAAATTTTGTTCACGTAGGTATCGAATATTTCGGCGAGAATCTAGCATCGTATTGGTAATTTACGAACGACAGGTAATGGAACAAATATATAAATTTTCAAAAGATCCGTATGCAAGCTTTCTTTTTCTGACATGTATGTCGATTGATCGTGATACAGGCGTATCGTATATACTGCATGATCTTTACAATATTATATGACACTTCGCATGATCTTTATTGCATCATCATTATTATTATTATTATTTTTTTTTTTTTTTTTTTTTTTTTTTACATATAAAAATCTTTTAAGTTTGTCTCCTGCGTTTTTCTCTACAAGGCAATAATTCCACGATATTTTTCCCCCTCCCCTTTTCAATAGCAATTTCTTTTTTTGTTTTTTTATTTTTTTCCTCCGCCTGATGCACGTATACCCCTCCCTCCCCCCAACTACCAGAGCCCGAACAACTAATAGAGCTCGAATTAATTACCACAATTAATTTTAATGCGTCCTTATAGTTCTCACTATTTACCCTTTCTAGCTCTTCTGACTCAATAAGCAACTCAAGATAAAGCTAAAGTGTAGAGGGACCAACAAATCGTATTTTTTTTTAGTCACGTTAGGATTGTTAGGCGAATCGTCATGTAAGTAGCCTTTATCTATGTACACGTGCGTGTGTGAACACGAAAACCCATTTTTCACACTATACAAAAAAAAAAAAAAAAAAAAAAAAAAAAGAGAAAAGAAAAAAAAATCGCTCGACAGTTCAACGAATCAACAAGTTCGGATCACCGCTTCGAAAGGTACATCGATCTCGATGCGAGTATCGATGCAGCTTGTCAGTGCAGAATGCATACATTAGAGTTAGATTCTTTTGATATCCTGTACGAGACTGGAAACGCTCCACCAACCTTTTTTTTTTTGTGTGTTTAGAATTTGCTAAAAAGATGTGACTCGCTAATGGCCGAACGATCGCACAAAATCGTCGTGCCTCGTTCCCCGTACAGCACTTCGGATGTGATCCTGTGCAACTTTAAACACCACTTATCTGTTAATCCTGAACTTTTCTTCCGATCAGAAATATTTTTCTATCGTGCTACCTTTTTTCGGCTTTCGCTTTCGCGATTATATCATTAATTGCATCTTCTCTTCGTCTTTATCTTTCTTTATTTCTAGCTAATTTTTTTTCTAGCTGGTTTTTAGCTTTTGAAAAAATTGTAAACATTTTATTATGTAGTATACCAAAAAAAAAAATAATATTCAAGAATTTTAAGAAAACGTTTGTTTTAAAAAAAAACGTGAGTGTTGTATGTTGTTCAATTTTTTCTATCTACCGATAGATCAAAATGTTAAATTTGAAAGATTTTATATTGTTTTTCAATATTTAAAAAAAAAAGGAAATTAAAAGTTTATTTCGATGAGAGGAAGAGAAAAAATGTTCGGAAGAAAAGTGCAGGAAGAACGCATACGAGAATGCACAAAATCGTTCTCCCTTTTTTTTTTTTTTCCATCTCTCCAACGAAAGCTGATTTATCCAAAACCTTAATTAATATACTTGCAAATAATAATACTTGACCGTTCGTCTAACAACACTAACTGATAGTAGTTAGTACGCGCCCCTTTAAACTTGTTGCCACTATATATGCAGGGTGTTTCAAAGAGCTACGGTCAAAACCAGAGAGCGTTTTCCTCGGTCGAAAATTGTAAGTACGATAAGTTGTTGCTAAAATGATAAAGCTCGAACTGTCGAGAAATGTATAATTTGTTGAACATATTTTGCTTTTTTTTTTTATTCCATTTCCATAGCCGTTGAATTTCGAATTATCATTATTGATTGATTGATTCTTCTTTGTTCGTTCGAAATATTTTCTTTAGCGAATCTTTACAGTAAAAATAAATAAATAAACAAACAAATAAAAGTAAATAAATATCATTTTCGTCTGAGAAATTTGTTCAAACATAGCGTGTATTGATGTAGAATTTCTTTCTTTTTTTTTTTTTTTTTTCCTATCTTGTTTCATGACGATTATTATGATTAAGTAGTATTGATCCTTTTTAGGGTAGCGTTTGATCGACACTCGAATAGAATCGATTTAGAACTTATTACGAATTAGACATCCCTATTACGAACGTTCTTACTTATTTTCCACCGAAGAAATCCCCCCCCTTTCAGTTTTCACCGTAGTAAAATTCTTCTGTTGTATCAAAAAGTTTTAGATATTTATATATCTTACAACTAACTGCTAAACGCTTTATTATTCAGTAGCTTTTATCAGCGCTTCACACGAGCTCGCTGCGTGCAGCACAGTCCTGCTTACAAGAAAGGTTTCTTTTCATTTTGCTTCATTAGCGAAACTTGAAAAAATTCTGAAGTAATTGAATCGAAGTGACGATACGCTTTATTTGTAACATTTTATTTCTTTTTTTTTTTTTTTTTTTATATATATATATATATTTCTGCAAACAAGTATACCTATTTTTGTGCAATAAAATAATACTTCATAAAATATAATTACGTATAGGCTATATTTAAATTGATTATAATATATTTTGTTCGATTTTTTTTATATAATTAAATAATTTGTTCGGTATATAATATAATTTTTTAATAATTTATCGAGTTCTATAATATTTTGTTACGCGATGTCAATTACAGTTATCTTCTTCCTATTTATTTTTAAATTTTAATATTTTTTATAAATAAAATAATTCAAAGAATTCGAAACCTTTCTTGTGAGAATTATTTTAAACGTGCCTCAGTAATTATATCGTACTTAATGATTAAAAATTAATCGATATAGACTCTCGAGCGCTGCTATTAGTGCATAGAATTTAAACTATACGTGAAAAAATTCAGATTCGAAGAAGAAATTAAATCAAAATTAAGATTTAATAATCGTAGATCGCATGCACAAAGAATTCATAATCGAGCATAGGGAGTCGAATATTATATGTAATATATATATATTAAATATGACACGTATCGATGATATACTATTCACTTCCTGTGGCAGACATTATGAAATAAAACATCGTTAAACACGACCATTAAATAAACACGTAAAATATTATTAACGAATCGTCGAGATTAATATAATATACACGCGAAGTGTAAGAAAAGCGGTTGCATAGTTGGCTGATTTGAAAATGCGTATTATATATTATATATCGTCAAATGTATAGCGATGTTGTTACTTTTTTTATATGTGTCTAGTATTACCCCTTGTTTTGGGCATGATGTAACATTGACAGATATACGATTGATACTTGTATCTATGTGAACCGCTGTAATAGTAAGAATTTTGTATATTACACGGAAAGAATCAATTTTGATCAATTTTCATTTGTTCACGCAGAATCTGACTTTTTGCAACTTAGCGAGCCATCCTACATGGAAACGACAACGACAGAAGAGGACCCTGAAACTCAGGAAAGGTACCTTTTAGTAAAAAAAGAAAAAAAAAAAGTATAAAACATATGTAATATTTACAAAGATTATTTTTTACAGAGTAACGAGAACTGTTCAAGTAATTACAACAACGAGCGGAACCACTAGTGGTCCAGACGAATTGCGAGAGTCCATGCAAAAGATCGTCGATAGATTCATGATGGAGGAAAGGCGAGATCAGTGAAGCATGAAGAGGTCTCATGGGCGATTATAAAAATAGAGAGAATTGAATTCTTCGCCATTTAATAATCGTGCATAATAAAGAAAGAAAGAGAGAGCGAGAGAGAGAAAGAGAGAGAGAGCGAGAGCGAGAGAGAGAGAGAGAGAGAGAGAGAGAGAGAGAGAGAGAGAGAGAGAGAGAGAAGGAAAAACGTTTAAATATAAATTCTTTAATACTATAATTGAATGGAAGCATCTATCTAATTTGGCGTATCCTCGAACGTCAAATGAGATTATCTTTTAGAAAATTAAAACAGGAGCATAGAAAAAAAAAAGAATCTTTCGATATAGATCTCGCTCGCATCTATGTTAGATATGTCAAATATCGTGGATTATTCTCGCAATGCTTCGTGAAAATACGTGAAAAATATGTGCACGATACTTTATTATCATACTCATGGCCTACGCTTCGAATTTGCTTGCCTTTCGGTTATTGAGTTGCCTTATATTATATTTACGTTTAATCTTGCTATTAAATAATATCATCGCTAGTCCGACTAGCCGATTTCGCTAGTCTTCACTAAGCCAACCCGTCCATGTACAACGCCTTTCTCGTGTTGTTCAAAGCGAAAAGAAACAGAAGAAGAAAATTAAGGAAGGAGTAAAAACGCTTACGATAACAAGATGTGGACAAAAAAAAATGAAAAAAAAAAAAAATATTCGTCTGAGAGATGCAAGTCCGACCAACATTATGGCGATATATATTTGTAAACATTTTTTGAAAATTGAAAAAAAGATAGGTGAAGACGATGGTATCGAAAAAAAAAAATAGATCTTACAGTGACTTCGCATAACTCGCCATTTGGCAGTTCATTTTAGCTTTAGAATGATTGTATATCTATCCATGCAATACAGCGCTTGATAGGTCAGCAAACACTTGAGTCACATTTTTTGACGATGAACTGCACACACATATACAAATTCTAAAAAAAAAAAGAAAAAAAAATGATTTCTTGTTGTTATTCGAATCATTGGAAATCCCCGGACAAAACGTAAGATTGAAAATTCTTAAGAAAATATCGGATACCGTCTATTTCCGATTTGAGTAGCGACAAGAAATGTGAATGTTTTTATGAATCGTAATGTAAATTTAACTTATTTAAAAGAATATTTCCTAACAATTTTTAATTGTATATATGATAATTTCTTAGCGTAACTTATATAAATGTACTATTATACGATTGTAATAATTGCAAGATTAAAACATGAATATTTTATTTATATAGCAGAATCATTGGACGAATGTTACACGCATAAATCATAAAATCAGAAGGAATGTTAATCGGCGATCTATCCTTCGTGAAATCATGTAAATTATTATAATTATTGTAAAAGAGAAAAAGAAAAGGTAAAGTGACATGATGATTATAGAAAAAAAGAAATGTGTTGTTTAAACTTTTATGACTCGCGAAACACGTCTTAATATTTAAGCAGCGTTAGCTTTCAATGTATAACACAGTTTTAAAAGGCACAGAAAGGAATCGTATATAGTATGTATTTAAAAGGAAAAAATATATATATATATATATATATATATACATATACATAAATATACATATATAATAAATAAGGTATTCTATTAATGTATAATATATTGAAAAGATATAATTATGCATCTGAAGTTTATAAATTATTATCTATAATGACTGTTATTCTATGTTTAATAGACTTGCCTAGAGCCTATCTGACCTAAGGACCAAAGGCACAATCACACACGCATCAAAATAAAACATTATGCTCCTATGTATTGTCGTAACATTTATTGTAACTTATTACGGACGTTGCGATACTGGCATTTAAATATTCCGACTGTTACAATACATTATTTGTATTACAAAACAAAAAACTATTTTCCCTTTTACACGAGACCGCAAATTGATGTAACACGACGAAACTATTATTGACAGACTTTTTTTATTCACTGTCATTTTTCTGCAGTATACTAGTACAATTTTTTACTAATATCTACACTCTATTGAGTACATTGATAAAAAATATTAAATATCTTCTAAACGTCGACCACGTAACTTCACTGGCTAATTTATTGTTTATTCATAATTTGTCTAATAAAAATACAAATGAATCAAATTTATAAAAATATAATTAATTCTTATTCTTCTATTTTTTAATATAAGAGATTTATTTATTTGAAAAACATATTTTTAAAAAAAGTATTTATTGAAAAAAGTATTTAAATTACAAATACAAATCTTTTATAATTTCTTAAAAATTATATATAAACAAAAATTTTAGTTTTATTTATTTTCTTGAAAAAATTAAATTATATTAATGCAAATATTATGTAAATATATATATACAATTCTAATAATAATTATTAAATATAATGCGCATAAGGCAATAACTAAATTCTTAATTGGAAAAATTTTTAAATTGTTTTCTTATTCTATATAGAGTATTTGTCTGTTTATCTATATAATGAATATAAATCTTTATAAATTATAAAATCATAATAATAAATTTTTTGCACCAATATTTTCTGTAAGCCAGTAATGTTACGCTATAAAAAATATATATACATTTTGTATTATTGCCTAAGCTTAACATCTACCATATTCTTAAAACAATGATATGGTAGGATAAATCTATTTCAATCCTCAAAAACTTGAATACGAATGAAATATTTTAAATGTTTGAAATATTAATGCGTTTATTTAATTCTAACTTTTACTAATAATATTTCTGAAATGTAATAGCTAACTCTTCTAATGTAATATATAAGGATCATTATAGAATTTGACTTAAATTTATGAGATAAACGTTGGCACCGTGACTAAAGTTTATAATAGACTCGCTTTAATATCTCATAATTGTTCTGTTACTACGATTTCGCAAAAAAATTATTAATTATTAAATAAAATATATAAAGAGAGAAATTTGATGATGTTTCATATACATGCGTTTAAATCAAAAATGTATTTAACATTCAGTATCGCATCAGTATCGCGCTTTTAGCTTTAAACGTAATTTTATACACTTCATGGTTTTGGTTTTGTGAATAACATGTAAGTACAAGCTCTATAGCTATTCTAATTTTTCTCTGCTTGATCTTCTCTGTAATTATTATGATGTTATATTAAAATTATAAAGCCATTGTATGGCATATGATATTAAAGAATAACAAAAATGAAAAAAAGGTATGATTTTATCATATATTATTGTGTGATAGAGTTATCAACGACAATGTAATAAATAAACTGTTGCAACACAATCCTTGATGTATTTACAAAAATATAAATCAAAAATATGAAAATATACCCAATTCTGATTATCACATTCTAATTTTTGAAAATGTATAAATTACATTGATTATATAAAGTTTTACAATTTATCACATTTTTAAGTTTTTAAATATATTTTATAAAATTACTTAAAAATTAAATATATATGTATAACGTATATAAAATATTATAATAATAGATTATTTGATATTGATCTAAGTTATCTAACAAATAAAAGGTGATGATATACTTTTATGTATTCAAATGAACAAATTAAATTTATTATTTTATATATTTTTATTCGTTGTTAACAGTTGACATTAATTTCATTTACATATTTGTGGAATTAATATTTTATACAGCAGTTAACACGATTTGAATGTTCTGACAATTTTTTTAATACAAAGTATAGAAGAATGAAATAATAATATTTATAAGTAATCTGATATATAACAAATAATATTTTTTTAAAATAAATATAACTCTTAGAAAGCAATTCATCTGTTACTGTTAAGATTTACTGTTTTGTTTTTAACAAATATTTTTCAGTAAAATTTTGTATTAATATTAATAGTTATATATTGCTTTTATCATTCACAATGATTTCGATCTTAAAATTACATCCAAGTATTTTTAAACATAATTACATAAACAATCTTCTTCAGAAGTTATGTATCTATATATAACAGATGGAGTCAATGAAATGCTTTGACACATATAAAATTGCAATGATATATGGTGTTCACTATTTTCCCTGTTCAAAATTGTAATAATAGTACATATATTTAATTGTCACTTATTAAAGAAAAAATTATAAAAAAAATTTGCTATAAGAAAAATATATTGATATTATACATAAATACATAATTATTTAATTCAATTTAGCTAGATAACGTAATTATTCTTATATTGAATTTTAATACAGATCTTTAAATTTAAATTAATTTAAAAAAAAACAATTATAATCAAATATCCATTCAAAATGAAATTTCGAAGTCATATGAAATTAAAAGACAGGCTTTTTATAGTGAATACCATAAATCTAATGACAATTACAGATCCTGAAAATTCAGGATCTAATTTTAAATTGTAACACAATATTACACAGACAAGTGAAAATTTATTTATAGATACAGAAAATTGACTACTTATTTCAAAAAATTTCAATATCTTAATTACACAACAAATGATAATATCTTGTAAAACAAATAGATGTCTTCATGCACTCTTGTACCATATCTTTAAAGTATATTTATACTGAAGATCATCAGATCTATAAAATTAAAATATTATTTTATTTACAAATAGTATTATAATTATAGAATATAAAAAAATAAGAATATATTAAATTTCTTGTTTTTAAATAATAATATTTTATAAATCTTATTAAAAATGTTGAAATCTTAAATACTCACATTGTCAACATCATCTTCATCATCATCACTAATTTCATCACCAAATTCAATATCTTCATCAAAACCATCTTCCACAAAGGTGACAGTATCATTAATGCGAACTGAAAGTATAAAAAGTAAAAATAAAATTTAATTTTCAAGTAAATATTTAAAAATGTAATAATTATAAATATTTGATAGTTTGAATATATTTTTATTTTTCATTTCAACAATTAAAACATGATTACTTACCAGTTTCTGGGAATTCACCGTATGTTTTCAAATTACGAGCTTCATCTGATGTATATTTTAATATGACATCTGCTTTTGCATCCTGATAATCTCGCAAACCAATTAATATTATATCTCCTTGATTAATCCATACTTTTTTCCGTAATTTTCCACGAATGTGACACAATCTTTTCACACCATCAAAGCACATTGCTTCTAACCTTCCATTACCAAGCATTTTTGTGACTTGTGCATATTCTAAAATAAAAGATATGTATATGTATATAAATGATATGTATAAAAAATATGTAGATATATTTATATTATATGTATTAAAACTTTTTTAAATTACAAAATATTATTTTATAGTGTTTAAAGTGCTGTTAATATTAATCATGAATAATATTTAATAACAAGATTAATAATTAAATAACAAAAATTAAAAGATTTAAATGTTAAAATATAGAACATCATGATAAATATTCTACTAAAATTTCACCTTGTCCATCTTCTTTAAAAACTAATTCTCTTTTTTCAGTTTCATTTTCGTTTTTTCCCCTTCTCCTATTTTTACCTCCTTTTCCTAAAGAAAAATAAATTTGAAGATTAGTATTCTAATTTTTTTGTAAATAAAAAAACGTTCAATTTTCTATCATGATATATTTAACAATATCAAAGAAAAATTTGACACTAATAGGTTAAAACAAACTAACCACATTGCACAGAAATTTTACGATTGTCTACACATAAATCTATAAAATTTGCAAACATAAAAAAAATACAAAAAAAATATAGTTAATTACAAACCTTTATTTTTCGGCATGTTGATTTAATAAAAAGTGCTTATTCAGTAAATATATAATAAATTTAAACAATAAGAAAGATCAAGATACTCAATGTTCTGGTTTTGCACCACTAAACACCTCATGGGAAAGACATGGACTACTCAAAAATGTCAAATATATGAAACTCAAAATAATTTTTTTCATTTATAATTTAAATGAATAAATTTTTTATTACAAAAATTACTTTCAAAATTTTTATAACATTTTGATTATGACATGAAATCCGAAGTTCATTAAAATTTAGATATTTCATTGACTAATTTATACTTCGTTATGGTCACGCGGCAAGAACAAGTATAGATAAAGAAAGTAAATAGTGGGAAGACAAAGATAGAATAAAAATTCGAGTATCAGCGCCATCTTCTGAATATCATAAATGAAAAATAATACATAGATAAGAAAATTAAATAAGAAAAGAATAAAAATTGACATTCAGCGCCATCTCTCGAATATTAAAGATATTTTCTTAAGAATATTCACTATCCAAAAATGATTAATGATTATGGATAATGTCGCATTTATCTATATTTTCGTTCCATGATTGATTTTGAATATTACATTCTGTTATAATAATAAATTGAAACTATTCAAACGCGAAATCAAAATTAATTTTTCTATATATTTATATATTTTCATATATTTTTTATATACATAAATTAGATATAATTAATTTATAATTTTTATATTTTTTTTCTATACTTTTTGAAAATAATAACTCAAAGGATTGAAATCATAAAAAATAAGTATAACAGATATGTCATAATTCCATAATTAGTATTAAATAAAATGGTATAATATTCAGTTATAATAATACAATATTAATGTACAATTAATTATCTTCTAAATTAATAATTTTTCGATTTTCATAATTCAAGTTTGAATATTTTGCAAAATAATATCAAGTATTAAAAAAATGTAACAAATCATTTAAAATATATTTTATTTTTTATCATATTAATATAATAATAATAGAATTCTATTTTTTAATAAATTAAAAAAATAATTAAAAAACGTTAAAATAAAATAAATTTTTTTATCTACTTCTACATACAGAAATTAAATTAGGGGAGATAGCAAATAATTAAAAAGTTTCAATAATTTATTATTTTAAATAATTATTTTATTTTATCATTTAACAATGATATTGTATATGTGTGTATATATACATGTATATGTATATACAACAATATACATTTATATATATGTATGAATATACATTTATACATATGTATGTTGTACATACATATGTATATTTTGGTATGCTGAATTTATCGAGGTATTTGTTATTATAATGGCAATAATACTGTAGCTACTGATATATTTTTAAATTGTTACGCTTTCAATGATTTTACTATGTATATCATACACTGTTATACAATATTAATTATATATTGAATTTCCAAAATCTAAATTTATCAAATATTTTGAATCCTTTATAATCCAGTGTATATTTATTCGACCGTCCTAAAAAAAAAAATACATATTATAAAATTATTTAAAATTTTTTTTATTACAAAAATTATTAAAAAAAAACAAAAAAAATATACAAAATGTACAAAAAAAATATTTAAAAATATAGTATTAGTATTGTGAACACTTTACAGTAATAATACTTACATTATACACATAACAAATTTAAAGGATTATATTTTTACACTCAAAAATGGAGAAAAGAAAAAAACTGAATGTTTTTTGTCTGAAAATATTTTTATATGATCAAATAATTCTACAGAATTTCTTCTGCTAGTCAAATTAAGAATTTGATTAATTGTTTATAAAATAATTTAAAACATTTTAAAATTTCAATATAATAAAATAGAATTATTTAGATCAAATTATTAATTATTATATAATTTTTTTTTCAAAATTTAAATATTAATATATTTGTAGCAAAAATTTAATAATTTAATTTTTTTGCCAAATATATCTCAATAATTTTTATAATTTATTATAAAATTTTTATAATATATTAAAAATTCAAAAATTTTTCTATTTTATTAAGAAACTAAAATATTTTTATACTAATTAAAAATAAATGACTATATCTTGTGTGAAGAATTTTATTTTTATAAAAAATAAATGTGCAATAACAAAAAAAGCACAAACAACACAAAAACTTATTAACAAAATCAAATATATAAAAGTTAATTGATATTAAACATAAATTATTTCCTACCATTTCACTAACTTTTATATTATTCACTAACACAATAAATTTTATGAAGCAAAAGATAGCAAGTCAGCAAACAATGTTAATGCAGCAACAATAACATGCAGAGGTTATAATATATTATATATTATATAGTCATATAGTCATAGCTATCCGTTTCGCTAGTTGGTATAGAAGCCTCAGTTTGTTCTTCAGGAATTTCAATATCTACATACACGATACGAAGTGAGTTCGTAAATCCAGCGCCTTTTCTCCATCCAGTAACTACTATAACTGCATCTCCAGGTTTAATGAAACCTTGATTTTTGCCAAATTTCATACCAAATTGAACACGTACATCAACATCTTTTACCCAATCAGCTAATCGTGGTTCTATATAAAAAACAAGTAAATTATAATTTCTTTATATATTAAATTATTATGCATTATTATTATATGCATAATAATATATATATACTATTTATTAAACATCATTTATTTGAAATGAAAAATATAACTATATCTATTTAATTAAAATATCTAGATATTTAAATTTTAATTTTTTTAAATCTATATTTTGTTATATATAATGTAATTTTAATATAATTTTAATAATTATACCTTGAAAATGAAGTGGCAAAATCCCACGATAGAGATGTGACTGTCGTGCAGTTTGTGGGTGTCTAGTAACTGTAATAATTGGGCAACGTGGTCTGTATTTAGAAATTAAATATGCGGAATGACCGGTAGTTGTAATTACTATAATAGCACTAGCTAAACATTTCACAGATGCTTCTACAACAGCGATTGCAACAGCATGTGTAGCATCAATTGGAGGTATTGCTTTCATTGAAAGCTCATGAAATAATTGTGTTTGCCAGATTGCAGATTCTGCTTCTTTACAAATATTAGCCATTGTGAGTACACATTCCAATGGATAATCTCCTTTGGCAGTTTCTCCTTAATACGTTAAAGTAAATAATAATTATTATATTCATATATAAACATTAATATATAAAAAAATTCATATTTTTCATTTACATAGTTGTTTATATATTTTTTATTATTAATTAATAATATAATAATTAATTAATTTATATACCTGATAACATAACACAATCTGCACCATCAAGAATAGCATTAGCTACATCCGATGATTCAGCTCTGGTTGCACGTGGTTTTTTCACCATAGATTCAAGCATTTGCGTAGCACAAATTATTGGTTTTCCAACTTTATTACATTTGCTAATAGCAGATTTTTGAGCTAAGAATACTTTCTCTGGTGGTATTTCAATACCAAGATCACCACGTGCTACCATAATACCATCAGAAGCATCAATAATTTCATCAATATTTACCACTCCCTGATGATTTTCAATTTTAGATATTATTTTAATATTTTTTCCTTTTTCACCAAGAATTGTTCGAATTTCTGTCAAAGCATGAGCATCTCGTATAAACGAGGCAAAAATCATATCAACTTCATGTTCAACACCGAATATTAAATCAGATTTATCTTTTTCAGAAACAGCAGGTAAATCTACAGGAGTACCTGGTAGATTGACACCTTTACGAGAACCCAACATTCCACCATTTTCAACAACAGTTACAACTAGTTCAGGATCTGAAACACATAAAACGTAGAAAAGATTAATTGTTAAGTAAATATAATGATGAAAATTTTTTATAAATAATATTTAATTAATATTTAATCAATTAAAACTTTAATAACATAATAAAATTTAATAAATATATTTTTTTATTTTTAAATGAGAAGAATCTAAAGGCCATACATACGGATCGCAGTAACTTTAAGGGAAATTAAACCATCATCGACAAAAACGCGACTATTAGGCTTCAACACTTTAGTAATGTTCTCATAATCTACATAAACAATACTTGAAGTGCCTTTTTCTGCATATGCTTTATCAGTAGACAATTTAAAAAGTTGATCTTTTTTTAATTCGACTTCAGCAGCTCCACCCTAAAAAAAAAAAAAAAAAAAAAAAAAAACAATAAGTATTGCATATTAATTATATAATATATTTATATAGAATGAATTTATATAAAAAAAATTCTCAATAAATTTAAAAATATATATATATAAACAATAAAAAATTAAAAATAGAATAAATTACATACACCTTCCAAAAGTCCAGTACGGATTTCAGGACCTTTAGTATCAAGAGCAATTCCTACAGGAATGCTTAGACCAGCTTTGGTGGAAACATTTTTCTGTGCTTGTCGCACATTGGCAATAGTCTCAGCATGATATTCGTGAGTTCCATGCGAGAAATTTAATCTAGCAATGTTCATACCCGTATCGATCATTTTTTCGAGCATAGCAATTGATCTCGAAGATGGTCCAATTGTACAAATAATTCCTGAAAGACGGACAGCCCCTACAGGAGCATCGATATCAAGGGCACACACATGATCTAATTGCGTTTGAGCATATAATGCTTGAGAGATCGTTTTTCCGGAAACCATCTAGAAATAAAATGTATAATGATGAAATTATATTTTATACATAGAAGTTATTTCACAATTGTTAAAAACAAATGAAACACATTCGACGTTTCAAAAAATATCATTTTATATAATATTTAAATAAAAATCATATGCAAAATAATTTAAAAAGCGCAATATTATTTCTAAAATGACAAATGACAAACAAAATTTAACATAGAGGATGACTTTAACACTTTACATACAGTTAGCTGACATTTAACAATTAGTTAAAATTGAATGTTCAAATGATATTCTCTATAGATAAATTTATTTTTAATAGAGTTGCAAAAATACATGAAATTGTAAAAAAAAATTGTTTAATATCGAAAAATATTTTTCGATATTTTTATTAATACAAAAAGCTGGTTAGAATAATGAAGTAAATAACAAAAATATTTTACAAAATATTCTAAATGGATAGAGTAATTCTAGTTATATATATCTTTATTATAATTATTAATCTAATTATTAATCTATATTCTATTTTTTATGCATTAATATGAAAATAAAAAATAAAATAAATTTACATGCATCTAAATGATCATAAATTTTTAATTTTAGATATATCACAAAATAAACTAGTAATGACTGATTATTTTAAGGAAATAAATAAAAAAATTGTACAATAGAAAAATTTCTAATAATCTATAATTCATATCAAATAATAAATTTAATGAAGTTATATAAAAAAAATTAAAATATAGTTTTTCATGAATCGAACATAAAGAGTATTAGTTACTTTTGAAAATATAACTTTACAAATACATACTTATTCCGGAAGAATGTAACTGTGTGGAGGATCACAAAAAAGAAATCAATAGTTTAAAAGCTAAAAGTAATCGTTTTTTCAAATTCTTCTTATATCACATTATATAAATATGAACCAATAATTTGGCACATTTAATAATCCGAATTATTATAATTCTGATGATAAAATATTATAATTGATATAATGATACAGAATTTAAAAAGAAATATATATATTTTATTATTAAATTATTAAATTTATGTTTGTTAATTTGTAAATTTATGTTTGTTAATTTATATTGTTTTTATTTTTTCAATTCTATTAAAGATATTAAGAAGAATTTGTCTATGATTATACAATTATACATCCATATTGATAAATAATGATTCATGTTATGCTATTTCGGGTTATTTGTTACTTTAATAATATAATTTCATAAATGCAAAACAATATTAGTAAGAATACATTAATCAATCAACAATGAATAACATAATTAAATAATAATATTAGCTGTAATTTATATTATCAATATCTACGAACCATATTTACAAATTAATATTTACAAAACGAATCATTAATAAAATAATTTTTTAAATATTTTTCATATTTAAAAGATGAATGAAATATTAGAACAAAACTTGAAATTTAAATATAACATGCTCTACTACATTTTACATGCTTTATTTTATATTGTAATTCTTGAACCAGAAATATATAAATTTTTTTCAATTGTTTCATAATATCATCTATCCGGCTTTATTTTGTACAATTATCTAATATAATCAAACAATGATGCACGTGCAATAAAAAATGAAAAATTAAGAAAAAAAATTGCAGCAACACATAACAAAACTATTACAAAATAACTTGTCTTTTAAAATACCTTATCATAGACGGTAACCCATACCATTTTGGCAGGCTGCACAAATAAAGAGACTGGAATTAGTTGTAGTACGGTATTGATAATACCGCAACTATGATTGACTGCATTCTTCGATACAAAAGATGTAAACTGTTTATCGGGCAAGTGATAGGAATATCGCGACGATCGAAAATTCATGATAATATTGAAAATGTTCAATGGACGTAGTAGACGATGGCAGTGACGTGCACAAATTTCAAATGCTGGCATTCTAATTAATTTGTTTAAAGAAATTACATATTAGATATTATACACAAATATATCTTGTATATCATATAGGAGGATTTTTTTATTTTACCGAATTTTGTTAATATAAAAATAATAAAACATATTTATGAAAATGGAATATTATAGTTTTTATGAAATTTTAGTACAATAATCGATATTAATTTTTATACAGATTATTCAAAATACAACATATTTATGATTCATATGATGAATATAAATATAAATATAATAAATACAATATAATAATAAGAAATAAATATAGAAATATAATCGAATATTTCGAAATTATAAATTATTTTATAATTATTATATAATTTGCTTATATTTTATCAATATCGTAATTTTAAATAATATCAAATAAAAATTAATTTGTAATTAAATAATAAATTAATGTAAATAATAAAATAAATAATACATTAATGAAATAATACAATTTATTTATATTTTATTAATGTAATTTTAAATCAAATAAAAATTAATTTATAATCAAATAAAAATTAGTAGTAATAAATTAATAAACTAATATAAATAAGAATAAAATATTATTAACCTGAAAAATCAGCGTATAAAAATGTACAAAATGTATATATATCCAAAACTCATGTAAAAAATTTACAAAATGTATATGTATTATAAATCTGCACTGATTACCGCCATCGTCTGATGATATTTAAACTTTAATTGAATTTAAATGAAATATTTTAAATTATGAGATATTATATGTCATCTATCATTGTCAAATTTAAATATTTTATTAAATTTTATTTTCCACAAAATTAAAATATATATAAGTTATGAAGATAGTAATAAAATGAAAACTATTGCTTTCATATGTTTTTATATGAATTATTTAAGCAAGAATTTAATTTAAATAATTATTGTAGAATAATCTGAATAATTAAATATAATTAAAACTATGAATCCGTATTGTTCAAGAATTATATTAAATTTTTTATAAATTCCTATAAATGATAAAATATCAACGAAACTTGTAATTTTTTTAAATATTAAATAATTCAACAAAAGATATAATTTTAAAAGTAATTTTATAGAATATTAAATAACAGTTAATCATTATATTATATATAAAAATATTTTTTGTATTTTAATAAAATATAAAGTTATTAAATACATAAATTTTGAAATAATTCTTAAGAGAGATATATTTGATTAATTGTTATCAATGAAATTAGATTTAATTTAGAATAACGGAATTAATATGAGGATTAAATGATAAAATCATCACGTTGTACATACATGTTACAAATCATATTGCACATATGGCACAATAATTTTACTTAAAAGGTAATATCATTTCTTTAACAAATTCCGAGTTTAACTGATACGATTAACGATATGAACGACGATTAACGATATTACAATCATATATTATACAATCATGACGTAAAATGTTGTATAATATTATGATTTAATAGATATCATTATATGTTTTATGCATTATTCTTTCTTTTTTTCGAACAAAAAGAATTTTAAAATATCGTATCATAATCTTTATCGAGAGGTTATAGAGCATCACTGTAATATTAGTTATAATCTAGAATTTTAATGATATTTCATGTTTAATATTATATAATATTATGATAATATTATTTTAATATATGTAATACATGTATATAGGAACAAAGTATTAACAGTTCAAAAAATAAATTAATTTTACATAATTACATTATATTAGCAAATTTTTTTTCATTAAAAAAATGATTTTTAAAACATTATATTGATATATTTTTTATTGTGTTTTTTCTAAAATGAACTTGTACAAGATAATTTAACATTAGATCATTTTACATTTCTTAATATCATTTTTTCTTAAAAACAAAAATTAATGAATTAAAAACGAACAATATTAAAATTATAATGAAATATGCATGTATAGTTTTCTAAGGAAAATAAAACTTCAATTTTTTATCTCAATAAAATTAATATTTATGTTATTACATTATTGTTATTATTCTTTGAAATGAAATATATACTTGAATGATCTTTTTTTATATTTATTATATATAATCCAATGTATTATTATATTTCAGATGTAATAAATAAAAAAATAATAATAAAAATAATAAAAGTAATAAATAAAAAAATGAAAATATATATATATATTATTATTTATTCTATCTATATTATATTTTTATTAATTTATAAAAATAAAAATAATTTGAATTAATATTATATAAAATCAAAAATTTATTGTATAACTCATATATGAATTTTTACATTGTAATGATATGAAATATTTTTGCATAATATGTATCAATATGTCTATACGTGTATATATATACATATATATATATATACATATGTATGTATGTGTATATAGCATATATTAATTTATAAAAAATAAAATTATTGTTTAATTTTGCTTTTAATATATAAATACTTAAGAAATAATAGATATATATAAAAAAAACAATAATGAATTTCATGATATCAAATTTCATGAATTATAAAAAATTTATAAATATATATTAAAATAACGCATAATCGTGAAATAAAATCATTCCAAATGTATTCCAAAATTATTTTATATACAAATATAATATGTTATATTTGTATTTGTAAAGAAATATATGAAATTCATAATTTTATATTCGTTAAAAAAATATATAATATAATTCATGAAAAAAATTATATATATATAAATTTTTATAAAAATTATATAATAAATGTATAATAAATATAAATAAATATGGTAAAAAAAAAATTATATTCAAATTATTTAATATTATTTTAAATCATATTTAAAATAAATATAAAACAAAATATAAAATAAGTATTAAAGAAAATAGGAAAGATTTAAAATCATTGTTAAATCTTATTTAATTTTTAGAAAACAATTTAAAGTACGTATATTATTTCAAGGTCAAAACGATACTCGTTTTACATATATTTCTTACATTTCTTATGCATTCATGAATAAAACGGTTTTATGTTATAATGTATACATATAATTAAAATTCAAATGAAATTCTGTTTAAACAAAAAAATGTTGAAATTTCTATAGTTACGATAATGAAAAATTTTCAAAACTACAAAATTCTTATAAGATTATAATCATTAAAGAATAATAGCATGATTTTATATATTATTTTACCATATTATATAGTTTAGTTTAACTATTACCTTGTCAAAATTCTTGAAATTAAAATCAAATTTAATGAGAAGCAAGTCAACGAACAGAGCAGACACTGAAATTCTCAAACTTATACGTTCACACTTCAACAGAAACTGAGGTTTTAAGGACATGAAAGGTCACTACTTTCCAATGCGCTTGAACCTCTTGGCTAGTTTTCAATGCAAAACAGATAATATTCTACTACCAACTTTTATTTTAAAAATTAAATTTGATTGATTAATATAAATTTAATACAATTATTTTAAATAAAATACAATATTGTTAAATAAAGATGAAAAAAAATGTTAAATACAATTTATTTTTATCAATATATTAATTACATTTTTTACTTAAAATAATTAAAATAACTAAGTAGAAAAGGAACTAGAATAAGACTGCTACATAATGAATAATATTACAGAAATTTTTTTTATAATATGAATGTAAATTAAATTAAAATGTATTTTTTACAAAATGAATTTTTGTTAAGTAATATAGAAAACTTTAATAAAATATGTCAATTTTTAATAATCTATAATAACCAAACGTTATAATTTCTATTTAGAATATTTTCTGTTTTTGATTTTTATTATTTTGACTTTTTTGTTCATTTTTGTTATTTTGATTTTTTTCTTATTAGAGTAATATTTATATACAAATGATTTTATATACAAATAATTTTTATATCGATAGCTTAATATATATATCATTTATATAATAGCAAATACAATAGATATTATCCTTAAATATTTTGTAACTAAATAATTTAAATGTTGAATACACTAAATAAAGTACTTAGTTTTTTATCATGTTATTTAATATTTTTTTATTATTTTTCATAATTTTTGTTAAAACTATCTGTGTATACTATGCCAAGTGAAATAAGTGAATTTAATGACGAACCGCTTTCAATATCTTATAACGAAAATGTTGAAAGGTAAATATTAATATAGGTTAGCAGATTTGTTTTTAAATATATAATTAATCTAATACAATTATATTTGTATGTTTAATATATTTTCTTTCATATGATAATATTTTATGTATTATATATAATAATAATAATAATTAAATCATTAAATAATTAAACCATTAACAAATAATATATTCTATTTTATTATTTTATATATACATGCTTCATGTTCTTATAGTTATTTCTATATTTAATTAATTTTTTTAATATTTTTTAATATATATATATTTCAGAATTACAGGTATTAACCATAAAAAATTTGGAATTCCTTTCCATATCTTAAAACATAGACAACAATTTTGGGATGAATTGTTTTATAGATATTCGGAACAAGTATGAGTTTTATTTTAATTTATTTTATTTTATTTTAATATATATATTTATATATAATAATATTTTTCTGATCATTAATATAATAATAATATATTTATAATTGTTTATAATTTGTTTCAGTCATCTGATGAAACTGTATTGAATATTTCATCATTAAAACCTGTTGAAAATGAATCTATATTAATAGATCAAATTTATAGAAAGGAATATAAACCATTCAATGTAATACAATATTGGGTAAATACTGGTTATTTACCTTATAAGAAACTTTATATAGACAAAAATACACAATCTGATATTGAATTATCTCATTCAAATGAATTATGTTTAAGTTCATCACATAAGTCTTCTAGTAGCTCAGTTGATACTGCTACATATATTTTGTCAAATATGAATACAACTAATAAAATAGAAACTATGGCTATTATAGAAGGAGCAAAACATAATGCAATAGAAACTTTTCAAAATATAGAAAATACTAAAAAATTACAAATTACTGCTAATATGCATGAAAAAAATAATGAACATACTGAAAACAATAATGATAATGATCAGCAACATTGCATATCAAATGAAACTCATAAAGTGTTAAATCATGTATTACAACAGGAAAATATAGATATAGAAAAAAATATATCACAATTGCAGAAAAATATAGATATTAATAATGATGACACATTTTTAATTGATACGCATGATAAATTAATTAATAATAATTTAAATAAAAATTCTTATATTGAACAAAATTCATCAAATATGAAAATATTGCATATCGATCAAAGTAGTTTGACAAACAATCTTGAATTGCAAAATAGCATTATAAAAATAGGACATCGAAAAAAATTATACACTGGTAGAAATTCGCCAGTTGATCTTATTAACATGAGCAGTAATAATAAAAACACAATATTTCAATCAAAACAAAATTTACATCCTGCATTAGATTTTGAATGTACATTATCAAAAAGATATAAAATTTGGAAAAAAAGAAAAAGTCAATTTTCTATATATAATAAATATCTTATGAATAATACACAATTTAATATTTTAAACCATAAAAAACAAAGAAAAAGATCAAAATTAAGAAAAACATCAATAAAAAATAATGAAACTATCTGTATAAATAATAATACTATTCAAAAAAATTCAAAAATAAATCAACAGTCAAAGAAATGTAACATTGATCAAAGTATAAATAAACATCCATCAATTAACGATTTAACAAATATAAAAAATAAATTTAATGAATTAATAAATTATGAAGAAAAAATAAATGTAGAACGATATAAAGAAACAAATGATATAACGAAAAAAATAAAATATTTAAATCCAATAATTTATCTAACGCGACTATCAAAAGACGATATTGAAAAATATAAAGGATCAGGAAAGACAATAGAAAACATTAATAATTCAATTCAATTATCAATCAATAATCAAACGCATAAAAAATTGAATGAAGTGATAAAATTAAAGAATTTAACTGTTTGTTTAACACGTTTGTCAAAACTTGATATTGAGAAATATAAAAAATCAAAAAATGTATTACCAAAAATAATAAATTCAAATTTAAATGTTTGTTTAGAACAATTACCAGAAATTGAAATTCAGAAATATAAAAATATCAATAATAAAGAATTAAGTAAAAATGATTTAATATCAGAATCTATTCAATCACATAATGATAATATAAATATTCATAAATTTTTTCAACATAATACATTAAACTATATTTATTCTAATAATGATTCTGGTACTAATTCTTATAGTAATATTAATTTAATAACAGAAGATACAAATAGTGATCAAAGTACTGTTTTAATTTATAAATGTAGTAATACATCATTTGATTTGTCTAGCTCTTTATCTTTATTGTCAGAAAACAGTTCTCAATTTGATTTTTCAAAAACTTTTGATAATTATATTTTAAAATCAAAAGAAAGATATAATGAAAAAGAAAGGAAATTAAATAGTAAAGTATTTAGTAGAAAAATAAATACAACAGAAGAAAATGTTAAAAATAAAATAGAAAGAACAAGTGATAAAAATCAACCAAATCATATTGCTGATAAAAATAAATATAATATAAAAAATAAAAAACTTAGTAATATAAATGATTCTTGTAAGAAAAGTTCAAATATAAATAAAAATATGTTTTTAAACAAAAATGTATATCAGAACATAAACAATATTACTTTATCTTCCAATAAATCAGAAATAAGTTCTGAAAGTAGTAGTATATATACAAGTAATAAGAAGAAGAGACCACGAGTGGTCTCTTCTGATGAAGAAGATTTTGTACATACTTTAAAAGATACACAAAAATTAAAATTACAACATTATAAAATGTTAAATCAAAATTTAAATGATATGAATAAAAAAACAAGAAAAAATGTAATGAAATATTCAAATTTAAATACTTCATTAAATGAACCAGACCTTTTGACTAAAAATATTAAATTTAAAACACAGAAAGAAGATGTTAACTCAATCAAGAGACAAAAATCTTTGCAACAATATAATTTATCTGTGGGAAAAGATTGTAATCAAAGCACAATTAAAGCACAAACTGTAATTAAAGATAATATAAAAAAATTATCTAAAGTTAATACTTCACAAATTGAAAAAAAGTCTCATGTAAATCATTTACTTTTTAAGACAAAAATATTTAGTTCTGATTCGGATTCCGAATATTTGACAGAATGACATTGCTCATTTAATAATTTATTCTTAGATGACAAAAAAATAAATTACTAAAAAGTAATTCATACTATCATTATATTTTTTTATAAAATAATTGTATTTTGTTAAAATTTTGTCAAATTTTAAAAATAATTTCTTCCATAATATAAAATGATAAACTTGTATTGCAATATTTTTTACAAAATCAAATATTGTTGAGATATAATATAAGTAAACTGATATGCAGTATAAATTTCATATATGGGATGTATGTTAAGTTTTTTTTAAACCTAAATTTAAAAATGTAATTCTATGCCAAATCAATCACTTTTTGAGAGATTTTTTTTTAACTAAAATATTAAAATACACATAATATATAAAAATTTATCAATAAATGTTTTGGATAAAAGATATAATATTTGTTTCAATAATCAATACAATACAATTAAAAATTTTGCATTTAAAAAGATAATTTAATTTTGACAAATTTTAAGTATATTAGAAAAAGATGTTCATATATTTTCATATAATATTATAAAAAAATTACTGATTAAAAAATATATTTTTTTACATAATAAGTAGAATTGATAAATTTTCATTTCTATTGCCAAATAAAAATCTAATTGCACTAATATGTATATAAAAAAATGATTGTTTTTTGTTAACATAATAAGAGACATAATAAAGGATACAATTTATTGACTTATTGTTGCTTTATTAATTAAATATGAAAAAAATATATTAATATTTGTATAGATATTCAAAAAATATGAAATAAATCTGAATTGACATTCGTAGTGCACAAAACAATAATAAGTGCAGATTCAAATTTTACAAAAATTTTTGTTATCGAATTTACATCAATCATGCATCAAATATTGTAAAATTATTTTTGTATATAACATGTCATAACTAAAAAACTATTAAAAATAAAATTTTTCTTGCTGCAAAATCTCCAACTTATCATATTACTTTTTTTTAAAACCAACAAAATAATGATTTATATTTCTTTTAATTTCACATAAATTACATTATATTTCATTTTAGAAGAGATCTCCAATTTCGACATAAAAAGTGATTGTTTTAACATAGATTCACGCTGATTTATTTTTACGATATTTTATCATGATTTATATTAAAATGTAATAATTTATGTCTTTTATTTAATTAAAAATAATTTTTTATTACAATATTAGTCTAATTTTATTCACATATTTTTTTTATTATTTAATTGTATATATGTAATTATTTCATAAATAGCATTATATAATTTTTTTATAAGTTTAAGTTATAATATATATGTATATCTAATATACAATATATATCTAAATTTTGAAAATACAATTATATCAATTTAAATTTTTTAAATTGAGAGAGAGAGAGAGAGAGAGAGAGAAAGACAGAGTGTATGTTGTTTATATTAAATTACAAATAAAAAAGATGAAATATAAAGTAATATATTTAATGAAAGAAATAATATAAAAATATCTTAAAGAACTTAAAAAAAAAAAATATGAAAGTAGTAGTATCATTAAATACAATTAAAATAAAAACATAAGTGAAATACACAAATTTTATTAAAAATATAAGTTATATTAAATAATTATATATATTATATATATATAATATATTAATTATATTAAAAATATAATTTATTGGAAATTTTATTGGAAAAGTAATAAAATATTTTAGGATAAAATTTTATTTTCTTAAATAGAATTATCGAATTGCTACACCCAATATATGTTGTTTTGAAAGAATTAAATGAAAAAATTGAGATACGTAACCTTCAAGAGTAAATGTATTCCATGTAATCTGATCAAAGCCAGCATTTTTAATATGCATAATAGGATCAACATTTAAATGACAACCACCAAAAAATAATGGCCATATTTTTGTTTGTGATAATACTTTTTGTAACCATCGTATAAAAATTCCTTCATTTTCAGGTATATGCTCTATGAATAAATATTGACCACCCTACAACAAATCACAGGAGATTATTTTCAAATTATATAAAAAATTTATATAAATTAAGATCGAATGAAATATTTAATAATGTTTAATAATGAATAATAAAATTAAAAAGTTTTAATTTAATTTATACATAAATAATTATTATTAATATTATTTTTGTATATTTATATACAAAATATAAATTTAATATATAATATAATATAAATTTTTTTATATTATATTTACTTATATTCGAGAATTTAATTGAAAGATCATTAAATTTTTACTTGTCGAAATTTAAATTGTCAATTTTTTTAAAAAAATAAAGTAATTAGCGTAGATTTATTTTGAAAAATAAAAAGTATTTTTATTTCATTAAGTTGATTTTTCTTAAAAATGATTTTTCATTTATACTGAAAAATGAAATAGAAACACGAAAATTTTTTTTTTTTTCGAATATAAATTTGAATCAAAAATTTGAAGTAAACGAAAACAAAATAATATTATTTTTATATAGAAAATTATAATATATATATAAATACTTTCAAATATAAAAGTTTGCAGAGATTACTTTTTAAATTACCTATTTACATATATAAAGATTAAATAAAATTAAACCAATAATATTTTTATTAGTTTATTATATTAGTGTACCCAAGTATATAATTTTGTTATATTATATATATATATATATATATTCATTATATTATATTAATATATTCAAAATTAAAGATTAGTTATAAATTGTTTTATAACTTTATATTATTCTTATAATATATATTAATTATATTCTCTTATAACTCTATATTAGTTAATACTACTATATATACTCTATATAACTTAGCATAAGCTGTTTTACATTAAAATAATATAGATATAAGTTATTATATAATAGATGTAATAGATGTAATAGATGTTAATTAACTTACCGATGCCAATACTCTGTGAATTTCTCGAAGCGTTGATTGCAACGATGTTACTGAACATAACGATCTTGTGGTCACAACTACGTCTATATATCCAGTAGGTATTTCTTTCAAAGAGCTACCATCTCCGATTATTAGATATTCAATAATGATATGAGAAAATTGCCAAGAACGATTACTTTTTATTAAATATTCAGCTAATTTCAAATTTCGATCAACACCAATTAAGTGTGTATTTTCTGGATAAAATTGTATATTTTCACCTGAAAGATTTAAATTTGATCTATGTATTCACGTATATGTAGGATTATAATTTTATCAAATTCGTAATGTATATATAAATATAATACGTTAATTTTATAGAAGTAACATAAAATAATGTCATGTAATTTAACATTATTTCCTTGATTGATTCAGAGTAAAAGACAAATATTTTTATATTTATTATACTCTATATGTACTCTCAATGTCTTCCTTAAAAATTTAAAAGTTTATATCGTGTACTAAAGTTAATTTTTATATAATTTAAAAAATTTAAATTACAAAAGTAAAAAAAAAAAATAATAACTATTTCGGAAAGACGTTACTATATCTATTTCTATTATTAATATACATACGTGCAATGCACACCCGTTTTAACGCCAATCTCAAGAAGACGTATGCAGTTCATGGATTGTAATACTTTGTCACTCGAAATAACGTGTTGTAATGATTTGAATAAATGTTTCTTGTAAGGTGTCATGAGTTCTGCGCATTCCACTTCAAATCCCGTTAAATAAGCTTTGTAAATACGTTTTTGCAAATTCAACCATTTTCGCGATATTAAAATTCCAATAAGAATGACGAAAAATAATAACAATCCATAATTCGTAATTACATCGCGGATCCATAAATCGTTATTGCTCATTTTTCTTTATGAAAATTCTTAAAATTTCTTATGATCTTTATTTTGAATGAGCAACTAATAAATGAATAGAATATCAATTTTTTCCCCTTTAATTATTAGTTTCGTATTCATTTAAAAAAATCTTACTTATATTGATATGTTTTGTAAATAAGTATACTTTAAAATGACGAATGTTCAATGAAATGAAATAAATCTGGTTGTAATCACTCGTGATAAGATAAGTATTAGAAGTAGTATATTTTTCTGAACGAATAATATTACATTATATATATTACATAATATTACATCGACGAAATAAATACTATTTTAAAAAAACACGAGAAAATATTTGTTAAATTTTATATGAATTAATATTAATTAAAATTTGCAATTTTATTAAAAAATCATTATATAAATTATTTTAAAACTCAATAGTGATGGTTCGATAAATTTGAAAATGTGTGGTATTGACCATATGGTTTGCCGTAAAAAAAAAAAAAAAAAAAAAATAAATAAATATAAGAGAAAAGAAAGAAAGAAAAAGAAAGAAAATGTTTTACGGAAGAAAATACGATTCGGTTGGTATATAGAGGAAGAGAGAAAACAATGGTCTCACGTTTTCGAAATGCGAGAAAGAGCGTACAAGTTAACAAAGGGGAAACAGCCAGCGGGCAAAAAGAAAAACGCTCGAAACGAACATATCGGCGCAAGGGGAGCCATGATTCTTTGTCACTCGAGTTTTTAAGAGTGACCACAAACAAAACGGAGTTCGATCAATTTAGTCCCTCGACCGAGTGCGTGCATTCGTTTGCCTCTTGCTCGTGCTCTTACGCGTATATACACGAACCATACATCCATATTTTCATTTCACATGCACGAAACTCGAAATTTGCTCGATTCAGAAGCATTTCGCAGTTCCAGAGAGGCGTTTTGTTGTTAGCATTGGGGCGGAGAGGAGGCCGACCGTTTTCGTAATGGCTCGTTGATTCGAGAGAATCGTCATAAAAAAATCATACATGCAATTTTCTTTCTTCATTCTTAGTTGTTTTTATTCTCTGTTTTCTACGTACTCGTCGTATTTTGCAGTGTTTCTAAATATGATTTCTAAATAAGTTTTTTTTTTTTTTTTAATTGTATTTCACACTCAATTTCCATAAATCTGTTGTGTTTTATATTATTTCAATTTCATATATATATATATATATGTATATATGTATACGTTCTATCTTTCGAAAGTTTAGAAATTCGTTTAATACTTTCGATTCATGAAAAAAAAAATGAAAATAAAAAATGATCTAGTATTATATAGTATTTTTTAATTTTTGAAGACATAAATATTTAAAAAATGCATGTTTTACATGTTAAGATTAAAAAAAAAATTGAATAAATTTTGCATTATTTCATTATTATAAAATACATTACTATCTGTCGATAATGTTGTGATCTACAAAAATGCGCGGAAAATATCATTTGCCCCTGAAAATAGGCAACCAATATGCTCTTCATTGCTATAACTAAACAACACGTACGTATAAAAATTATATTAGAAAGACAAAGATTTATATTCATCTTATTTTTTTTTAAGGAATGCGATATTTAATTTATGAATAACAATATTATAATAAAAAATTATTTTTAGAGATACTTATATCATTTTTTATTCTATAAAATTTATCTTTTCACATCGATGTTTGATTGTTCATCATCGTTGTCTATTCCATCGTAAAGTTTCGATATTTTTGTCTTCCTATTCTTTTCATCCCGCTTTCTGTCATTCGAGAATGCCCGAAGGCTCGTCAGCAAATTTAAGTTGGACACGTACAAGCACGTGAACAGTTCTTCGAGTACTTCGACGGCTTATTGGTGAGCACGAAGCGAGCGACCCACCTATCTGTTTGATCTTTCAAGAGTGAAAAATATTTAAATGCTGTCGTTGCTGTTTTATATTTTACGCACTTGTGCGCGTAACCGTACCTCTTGTGACTTTCCATTCGCAAACAAGACGAGTATTTGATAAACTATCTGTCGATGACTATCATGCAAATTGTACACGATTATTATGCGAGACTCTTTTTGCCATACTTTATTTATTTAAAACTTTCTATCGAATATATTATAAAAGCTATTTTATAATCCTAATAAGTAATCTTAATAATAAACGCGAAAGAAGAAGATATACAAGACAACAAATCTGAACAAATTTGAAGATAGTTAAATTTAAATAAAAATATATTACGAAATATAATATCAAACGCAGAGAAGAATTAAAAAATTCTGTATTTAAGATTATTTCATTTATATCGATAATAATTTAACCAGTGGATAATTTAAGCCGTGGAAATAAAAATATACGTTCGATAAATATTTGTTGAAAAAATTATTTGGGCCAAGGAAAATTATTTTTCTTCTTCGAACGAATGAGCCGAGCATGGAAGTATCTTAAGTATTTTTTACCTCGTGTACAACAAACTACTTACAATATATTCTCGATGAAGGAGGGATTCGATTTCAGCGAAACACGATGCTGCGAGGCATACAAGACTCACTTGAGAAGAAGCTCTTTTTTTCAAGTGTCGCTACGGCAGCGAAGTCGACGGCATTGTCTCCATTGTTGGCGAATCGTAATCAATATTTTCACAATATGGCGCTATTGTGGCTAGTACGAGCGAGGTGCACAAGCTCCGCGAAGCTTTTATTCCTCGCCATCGTACCACAGATCATTGTTTAACAAATACGCGAAAGTAAAACGTAAAATAAAGTATTTACGAAACGAGGCATTTGTCCTATTTCTTTTTTCTTTCCATTTCTTTTTCATTTTTTTTTTTCTTTTTTTGCATTTATATTAGCTCAATTAGCGAAACATTAGTTAGCGAAGGAAAGAAACGCCGAAGAAAAGTAAGCTTGATTTTACAGCCAAGAAATATTCGCTTCAAGGTAGTCCTTAAGGGTCGAAATATCGGAGTTATATTTCATGCAACGAGTGTCGCGTGGTTAACGTTTGTTGCGTTAACGCATAATACCTGTACCTAAGCCATAAACTAATAAATACATTAACTTAAGATCGACAATGCGTCCAAACATCAAACAAATCGTAAACGATCACAATGCATGAAGGAAATTCGAGATCGGTTAAAAGAATACCGTGAAAGGACAGGTCGTGATCTTGATTTACGACAAGTACTTATTTTCGAGGTTATGGCCACACGCTGACACCAGGACCTTCTCTTCCAGGATCCTCTCTTCCTCTTTTCGATTCCACTTCCCAACTTCGATTTCACTTCCTCCCCGATATTCTCCTTCCCAACACATTTTCCTTTACAGACCCAAACTCTAGTTCAAATCTCAAACACTATTTTAATTATTTTCATTTTTAGATCAAGTCCTTGCAGTTTTTACCGGAAGAAAAAAAAAACTTTAGTAAACTTTATCTCAAAGTAATCAAAATCGAAGAGGGCATGATCCATCCTTATAACTTCGTACCATCCTCATAACTTCAACAAAGAAAGGACTATCTGGTTACGATGATTATAAGGCGATGATTATAAACAAGAAAGAAGTAAACCGATATCGGAGTCAACGATAACGGAGTTAATTTCGACAGTTACACGTTAATTTACAACGTTTAAACGTCCTGGACGCGCCCACCATCTACGTCTGTTTAACTGCGACGATAACCGGGGACGGGGAACAGAAGCGTTCTCTGTTTCCCAAACAGAAGGAGATGATTTCGTAAAGGAAATATTTATCGAGGATAGTTAGTAAAGAAGAAAACGATGGGTTGTAGTAAGTAAGAGATCCGAGCCTGAACGGGGCTTTCCTTTCCCCGAAAGATCGGTGTCGGCGGAGGAGAGCGACAGAAGTTGGGAAGCACGAAAGAGGGCCCCGTCGGCATTCTCTGTAGTTCGATCGTGGGCGGAGCGTCGCGGTGCTCGGCGTTGTGTGTGAACCAGAAATTGTCAATGGACGGTATTGTTGGGATGCCGGTGCGTGGCGGGAAATAATAAATGGCCGAAACTTCCATGCCACGGTCCCGTAAAAACCTACGATATCGGGGCAACACCCTCTTTTCTTTTTTCCTTCCTCTTTTTTCCTTTTTCTTCTTCTTCTTCTTCTTCTTCTTCTTCTTCTTCCTCCTCTTTTCCTCCCTCCTTTTTTTCTTTTTTCTTTTTTTTTCTTCCCTCCCCCTCGACACTGTTAATGCGCAAAATCTTTGCACCGACGTGAACCTCCCTCCTTCCTTCCCCCCGCCCCCCCTCCTCCCTCGCCACTGCCTCTTCTCGATCAAAATGGAACCTTTGAAAGGGGATGGCCGATCCTCTAGATCGAGTTCAACCCTTGTACGCGTCTAAGGTCGTCTATCGCGTTTTTTTCCCCTGCACTCTCGACACACGACGACACGACGACGCTCACGGGATCCTTTGAACTTTACCGAAAACCACCGTATCTGTATAATTTCCCCTCTCCCGTCCAAAATTTCTCCCACCCATCCCGCCGATTCTTCCGAACGAAAAAGAAAAAAAAATCTCTCGAATTAACTCTCTCTCGATTCTCAATTTTTCAAATTTTTATTATCTATTTATTTATTTCTTCGGTAATAGAAATTTAAATAATAAGAAAAAATTCAATCATCTTCGAGACGAAACGATCGCGTTGCGCATATATCGTATTAACTTATACGCAAATTGCAACGGTTCGTCGAACATTTGCTCGTTGGATGTTTCGGGCTCGTAACAGAAGTGTGTCGACGATCATTAGTATTTGCCGAGGGCCAAAGATCGTAAGCGGAAATTCGCGTCATGATAGGGCATTAGTGTTTTACGACATTCCATTATCCGTGTCGTCACGGATGCCACTCAAAATCCGTTTCTATCTGTAGCAGCTTGAACGCGCGAACGTTTCGCTCTAACGGGCATACGACTTTGGGGGGTCGAGGGGGAGGGGGATGGAGGGATGGGGGACGGGGGAGGGGGAGGGAGGAGGAGGAAGGGGAAAAAACGCGTCTTTGTCGTTTACTGAGATGACTATTGATCCAGGCCACCATTGTTCCCCGAACATCCGAAAGGGATCGGCAGGAAACTGCATTGCTTCCACGCGGCGGTCTTCCTTTTTCGCCGTGTCTCCGTAGATCCGGGATATTTAACCGTGACGCAATGAACATCAGTAATTTAC